GGATTTGGCTATTTCAGCCTCACCCGTTGGTGACAGGTGTAAAAAAATCGAGCACACAGCCATGCAACCTCCATAGACAAACATTGGCAGTAGAATGGCCTTACTGAAGAGCTCAGTGACTCAACGTGGCACCGTCATACAGGGCATTCGGAAAGTATTCAGCCCCCTTGACTTTTTCCACATTTTTTACGTTACAGACTTATTCTAAAATTTATTAAATATTTTTTTATCCCTCATCAAACTACACATCCCATAATGACAAAGTGAACAGTTTTAGAAATTTTTGCAAATACCTTATTTACATAAGTATTCAGACCCTTTGCTATGAGACTCGAAAATGAGCTCAGGTACATCTGGTTTCCATTGACCATCCTTGAGATTTTTCTACTAGATTGGAGTCCACCTGTGGTCAATTCAATTGACTGGACATGATTTGGAAAGGCACACACCTGTCTATATAATGGTCCCACAGTTGACAGTGCATGTCAGAGCAAAAACCAAGCCATGAGGTCGAAGGAATTGTCCGTAGAGCTCAGAGACAAGATTGTGTCGAGGCAAAGATCTGGTGAAGGGTACCAAAAAATGTCTGCAGCATTGAAGGTCCCCAAGAACACAGTGGCTGAGGAGTGGCCAGACGGAATACACTTCTCAGTAAAAGGCACATGACAGCTCGCTTGGAGTTTGCCAAAAGTCACCTAAAGGACTCTCAGACCATGAGAAACAAGATTCTCTGATCTGATGAAACCAAGATTGAACTCTTTGGCCTGAATGCCAAGCGTCACGTCTGGAGGAAAACTGGCACCATCCCTACGGTGAAGCATGCTGGTGGCAGAATCATGCTGTGGGGAAAGCAGCTGTGCAGCACCGCTCCCCATCCAACCTGATAGAGCTTGAGAGGATCTGCAGTGAAGAATGGAATAAACTCCCCAAATACAGGTGTGCCAAGCTTGTGCGTCATACCCAAGAAGACCCAAGGCTGTAATCGCTGCCAAAGGTGCTTCAACAAAGTACTGAGTAAATGGTCTGAATACTTATGTAAATTTAATTTCAGTTTTGTATTTTTAATACATTTGCTAAAATTTCTAAAAACTTGTTTTTGTTTTGTCATTATGGGGTACTGTGTGTAGATTATTTTAGAATAAGGCTGTAATGTAACAATGTGGAAAAAGTCAAGGGGTCTGAATACTTTCCGAATGCATTGTAGGATGCCACCCTCCCAACAAGTCAGTTCGTCAAATTTCTGCCCTGCTAGAGCTGCCCCAGTCAATTGTAGGTGCTGTCATTGTGAAGTGGAAACATTAAGAGCAACAACGGCTCAGCCGTGAAGTGGTAGGCCACACAAGCTCACAGAATTGGACCGCCGAGTGCTGAAGCACGTAGCGTGTAAAAATAGTCTGTCCTCTAGCATTCCAGTGTTAATACTATTGTAATTATTCTGCACTATAGCCTATTTATTGCCTTACCTCCATAACTTGCTACATTTGCACACACTGTATATATATTTTCTGTTGTATTTCTGACTTTATGTTTTTTACCCCATATGTAACTCTGTGTTGTTTTTATTGCACTACTTTGCTTTATCTTGGCCAGGTCGCAGTTGTAAATGAGAACCTGTTCTCAACTGGCTTACCTGGTTAAATAAAGGTGAAATAAAAAAATAAAAAAATAAAAACTCACTACCGAGTTCCAAACTGCCTCTGGAAGCAACGTCAGCACAAGAACTGTTAGTCGGGAGCTTTATGAAATGGGTTTCATTGGCCGAGCAGCCGCACACAAACCTAAGATCACCATGCGCAAAGCCAAGCGTCGGCTGGAGTGGTGTAAAGCTCGCCGCCATTGGACTCTGGGCAGTGGAAACGCGTTCTCAGGAGTGATGAAACACGCTTCACCATCTGGCAGTACGACGGACAAATCTAGGTTTGGCAGATGCCAGGAGAACGCTACCTGCCCCAATGCATAGTGCCAACTGTAAAGTTTGGTGGAGAAGGAATAATGGTCTGGGGCTGTTTTTCATGGTTCGGGCTAGGACCCTTAGTTCGAGTGAAGGGAAATCTTAACGCTACAGCATACAATGACATTCCAGACGATTCTGTGTTTCCAACTTTGTGGCAATAGTTTTGGGAAGGCCGTTTCCTTTCATCACCACAATGCCCCCATATAGAAATGGTTTGTCGAGATCAGTATGGAAGAACTTGACTGGCCAGAGCCCTTACCTCAAACGCATCGGGATGAATTGGAACACCGACTGCAAGCTAGGCCTGATCGCCCAACATCAATGCCCGACCTCCCTAATGCTTGTGGCTGAATGGAAGCAAGTCCCTACAGCAATGTTACAACATCTAGTGGAAAGCCTACCCAGAAGAGTGGAGGCTGTTATAGCAGCAAAGGGGGGACCAACTCCATATTAATGCCCATGATTTTGGAACATGAGATGTTCGACAAGCCGGTGTCCACATACTTTTGGTCATGTAGTGTATAAATCCTCTGGATTCTTCTTCAGTTCATTTGTGAGCGACTCCGTTCGGCTGTGTTCTTTCTGACTTCACTCATCCATGATGTGAACAGAGAGAGAGAGAAAGTATTGAAGGGTTGCTGCTCATCTTACCGCTATTAATCAGCAATGTAATTCTATCAGAGTTCACAAACTATACCTTATACTAGCTAGAACCCACGACAGAGAAGAAGAATGTGGTGTCATTAAAGTGTGATCTTAGTGTTCAACTTGGCTCATTTCAGACTCGGAGCTGCGTCATTACATTTCAGTCATTTACTGGACTCCTAGGAGAGCGATGATTACTCAAAGCACATACTTTCTGCTTGAATTGAAGTTGTTGTAAACCTCGAATACAACCCTGGTGGGAAGTATACTGAACAAAAATATAAATGCCAATATGCAACAATTTCAAAGATTTTACTGAGTTAAAGTTCATATAATGAAATCGGTCAATTGAAATAAATTCATTAGGGCCTAATCTATGGATTTCACATGACTGGGAATACAGATATGCATCTGTCGGTCACAGACAACTTTAAAAATGGTAGGGGCGTGGATCAGAAAACCAGTCAGTATCTGGTGTGACCACCATTTGCCTCATACAACGAGACATCTCCTTCGCATAGAGTTTATCAGGCTGTTGATTGTGGCCTGTGGAAGGTTGTCCCACTCTTCAATGGCTTTGCAAAGTTTCTGGATATTGGCGGGAAATGGTGTCGTACACGTCGATCAAGAGCATCCCAAACATGCTCAACAAGTGACATGTCTGGTGAGTATGCAGGCCCTGGAAGAACTGGGACATTTTCAGCATCCAGGAATTATGTACAGATCCTTGCGACATGGGGCCATGAATTAGCATGCTGAAACATGAGGTGATGGCGGCGGATGAAAGGCACCACAATGGGCCTCAGGATCTTGTCACGGTATCTCTGTGCATTCAAATTGCCATTGATAAAATGCAATTGTGTTCGTTGTCCGTAGCTTATGCCTGCCTGCCCATACCATAACCCCACCACCATGGGGCACTCTGTTCACAACATTGACATCAGCAAACTGCTCGCCCACGCAATGCCATACACGCGGTCTACGGTTGTGAGGCCGGTTGGACGTACAGCCAAATTCTCTAAAACAAAGTTGGAGGTGGTTAATGGTTGAGAAATTAACATTAAATTCTCTGGCAACAGCTCTGGTGGACATTCCTGCAGTGCGCATGCCAATTGCAAGCTCCCTCAAAACTTGAGACATCTGTGGCATTGTGTTGTATGACAAAACGGATTCCTGCAGTGCACATGTGTAATGATCATGCTGTTTAATCAGCTTCTTGATATACCACACCTGTCAGGTGGATGGATTATCTTGGCAAAGGAAAAATGCTCAATAACAGGGATGTAAACAAATTTGTCTACAACATTTTAGAGAAATAAGCTTTTGTACATATGGGACATTTCTGTTATCTTTTGTTTCAGCTCATGAAACATGGGACCAACACTTTACATGTTGCGTTTATATTTTTGTTCAGTGTAATTAAGGACCCTATTCAATCAACCGCTGTGTACAGATTCTGGGGTTTCTTCCCTTGTCGTTAAGAGAGCTTATTGGAGCATATTAGCACGTTTTCTTTTTGTTTCACACTGGAGGCATAGTTTTTTAAATATTAACAGTATGTTTTAATTACGTTTTGTTATAATGAAAAGACGACTTATCAAGGACACTTGGTTATCAGGTTTTGAATGAACAGCGGCTTAGGCCTAATGTAATGACCATAGTGCATTTAAAGTTCTACTGTGCATACTGCTTGTGATTAGGGCCTTATTATAGTTAATGTGCTCTCCAGTCACAGTGAAACCCTATGGAGCTGGGTGTCTGGGTCTGACGTGTGTGATGTTTGGGTTTGGCCCAGCACCAGGTAACACCGCGGCCCCTTGCCAAGCTCAACTACAGGCTGTTTCATTTTGTTGTCCCCTACCTGATGACTTGTGACGTTGCCGCGCACATTTCCTTTCCCTTTTGTGATCGGACTATAGGCGAAAATTCAAGCGGGATAAATGTATTAGCTAGTTTTTCCCCTCCTCCTTTTTCATCCACCCCTCCTTGAAAAGAGCCAGCTGAAATGGTGGACATGTTTCCCCAGGCTTTGGTCTGGGTCGTATTCATTAGGCACCGAACTGAAGAAAAAAACGGAAACGGGGAGAGAATACCTAGGCTTGGTCCAATAAGAACCACTTGTTTTCGGTTTCCATTGCACAACGTTTTGCTACCGTGTGCTCTAATGAATACAACCTAAGCTTTACTCTGCTTTTGCCCACTCCTTCCAAAGCCCACTCCGGTCACAGATGGGACCTCAAACATTCCCTTGGCGCTCGCACCCACACCCTCACCACCCCCGCACTCATCCACCCTTCATCACCCTAAGCTCTGTCATTTATCAATTTGTCTGTTTATTTTCCTCGAATTTCCTCTAAAACCGCAGCGCCCTTTGCAGGGGTCACCGATGTTGGTATGGGGATCAGGCTCTCATGTTCTCCCTTACACAGTTCACATTCCTTCCCGAATTATAGGAAGAGAGGGAGAGCTGACAGGGGAGGAGAGAAGGAGAGAGGAGGGAGGAGAGGGAAAGGGGAGAAAGAACCAGGAAAGAAAGAGAGAGGGAGAGACAGAAGAGGAATTACAGTTCGAGAGATGTAGAGAGAAGATGGGTGCGAGGGGCAGAGGTGGTACAGCAGCAACTCCCTACCTGGTAGTCTAGGATGCTGAAGCCCAGGCCTCTCTCTCCCTTCTCCAGCTCCAACAACTGGATGTCTGGGGACCACAGAGCCAGCTCTCCTTCTTCATCCTCCTCCTCCTCTTCCTCTTCCCCCCTCTTCTCCTGTGGCATCTCCTCCTGGTGGCTGGGGTATGTGGGCACTGGCTCCTCCGGCTCCTCATCCGACATCTCCTGTAGGGTCACATGGTCCTGGTGGGTGGAAGAGAGGCACACGTATTGACACCATAATGTTAGCTTCAGGAACATCTTTACAAGATAAAACCAGATATGGTGTGCAGAGCATCATGGGTATTGTAGTGCTACAACACTGACTTCAACCTATCCTGGTCACTGTCATTGTCTATGAGTTACACAATACAGTAGGCATCAGTACTTTGAAGTGAAGTTATGATGTAGCCTACCTGAGGTTGTTCACTGTCATTGTCGTCTCGGAGGTAGGCCTGACTTGTCAATGCAGAGGACAGCTTGGCTTCAAGCTAGATTAGAAGAACACAGGAGGACATGGACTATCGTGTGTGTGTGTGTGTGTGTATATGTATGTGGTGAGTTCGGAGTGTGTGTTTGTGTTCCTGTGTATGTGTGCGTGCTGACCTCAGACAAGCTGATGGCCGGGCTGGGCGAGCGCCACTCGTCATCGCGGTCCGGTTGATAGTCTGAGCCCTCCTCTGTCAGGTGTCTGCAGCACACCAGGGTGAAGGGAGGGGGCACCTCACGCAGGAACGCCACCGCCTCACGCCTCGACTTGCCGTACAGCTGCACCCCGTTCACCTGGACACACACAACTTCCCTAAGTAAACGTGTATTGTATATGAAATTCATTTAAGACGGCATATACACACACATCCAATTCAACTGCATAACACACAAACAATGGAGGTTGGTTGCACTCTCTCGCCTTGCAAAAGGCAGACACACAGTAAAGCACTACATTCACCTGCAGAGCGTGCACACACACTTCTCACTTTAGAGAGAGAGAGTGAGAGAGCGAGAGAGAGAGCACACGCACACACTTCTCACTTCGAGTAAATACACAGCCAACTGTATTGGCTATTGGCTGGTGCACCAAATACAATGGTCTTATGCTCTGCTTTCAAAATGGAAGATGAGATATCAGAAGGTAATGAACAGTTTATGGCTGGAATGAATGGAGTCAATTTGTGACTTCAACACCTCCCAACAAAGGTTATCTCTCTAGTAATGAAGTGAACCAAAAGAGATTTAGGAGCCCAAAGGAGATGTGTGAGTGTAGGTGTGCGTTCGTACGCGCTTTTGTGTGTTTGTGCTTGTGTTCTCGCCTGTGTGTGCGCCTCTCTGTGCGTGTGTGTGTGTGTGTATGTGTGTTGATCAGAGGGGCAGACCCAGAGCTATGGCCTTATTCTCAGTGAGGGGACTCAGGGAGCCGCTGGGCTACTTGATTGCTGTTTAATGGAACGGGCTGCAAGGGAGTGGCTGGAGAGCCCGGCGATGACTGCTACTGTACGTGCCATTTGCCCAGCGATGTGGGGGAAACCAGGCCCCGTCTACAAAGGTTGAGCAGCCTCCGGTCTTACTGGGAGACTTGCGTTCAATTCAAGTAGCAGCTTGAAAAATGCAGGTGTGGATTGAGCTATACTAAACTCAGCAAAAAAATAAACATCCTCTCACTGTCAACTGCGTTTATTTTCAGCAAACCTAACATGTGTAAATATTTATATGAACATAACAAGACTCAACAACTGAGACATGAACTGAACAAGTTCCACAGACATGTGACTAACAGAAATGGAATGTGTCCCTAAACAAAGGGGGGTTCAAAATCAAAAGTAACAGTCAGTATCTGGTGTGGCCACCAGCTGCATTAAGTACTGCAGTGCATCTCCTCCTCATGGACTGCACCAGATTTGCCAGTTATTGCTGTGAGATGTTACCCCACTCTTCCACCAAGGCACCTGCAAGTTCCCTGACATTTCTGGGGGGAATGGCCCTAGCCCTCACCCTCCGATCCAACAGGTCCCAGACGTGCTCAATGGGATTGAGTTCCGGGCTCCTCACTGGTCATTGCAGAACACTGACATTCCTGTCTTGCAGGAAATCACGCACAGAACGAGCAGTATGGCTGGTGGCATTGTCATGCTGGAGGGTCATGTCAGGATGAGCCTGCAGGAAGGGTACCACATGAGGGAGGAGGATGTCTTCCCTGTAACGCACAGCGTTGAGATTGCCTGCAATGACAACAAGCTCAGTCCGATGATGCTGTGACACACCGCCCCAGACCATAACAGACCATCCATCTCCAAATCAATCCCGCTCCAGAGTACAGGCCTCGGTGTAACGCTCAGTCCTTCAACGATAAACGCGAATCCGACCATCACCCCTGGTGAGACAACACCGCGACTCATCAGTGAAGAGCACTTTTTACCAGTCCTGTCTGGTCCAGCGACGGTGGGTTTGTGCCCATAGGCGACGTTGTTGCCGGTGATGTCTGGTGAGGACCTGCCTTACAACAGGCCTACAAGCCCTCAGTCCAGCCTCTCTTAGCCTATTGCGGACAGTCTGAGCACTGATGGAGGAATTGTGCGTTCCTGGTGTAACTCAGGCAGTTGTTGTTGCCATCCTGTACCTGTCCCGCAGGTGTGATGTTCGGATGTACGATCCTGTGCAGATGTTGTTACACGTGGTCTGCCACTGCGAGGACGATCAGCTGTCCGTCCTGTCTCCCTGTAGCGCTGTCTTAAGCGTCTCACAGTACGGACATTGCAATTTATTGTCCTGGCCACATCTGCGGTCCTCATGCCTCCTTGCAGCATGCCTAAGGCACGTTCACGCAGATGAGCAGGGACCCTGGGCATCTTTCTTTTGGTGTTTTTCAGAGTCAGTAGAAAGGCCTCTTTAGTGTCCTAAGTTTTCATAACTGTGACCTTAATTGCCCTACTGTCTGTAAGCTGTTAGTGTCTTAATGACCGTTCCACAGGTGCATGTTCATTAATTGTTTATGGTTCATTGAACAAGCATGGGAAACAGTGTTTAAACCCTTTACAATGAAGATCTGTGAAGTTATTTGGATTTTTACTAATCATCTTTGAAAGACAGGGTCCTGAAAAAGGGATGTTTATTTTTTTCCCTGAGTTTAGTACAGAGGGTTATGGTTGTGTCAAAACCAGGCATTTAATCCATGAATTTGGCTCTCCTCCCCTCCGACACCAGGATTTCCCCCTCCTGTGTCACGGCGGTTGCCTCTGCTTATGCCAGGGCTGCCAACAGCAACAGGCTGAGGGCACAGTAGTGAAGCAGCACCAAGCCGTGCCAGGGAGAGGGGCAGGAAGAGAGGGTAGGGGTGGGTCGGGGGGTAGCACAAATGGGGCAAGGGAGGCAGGGGGCTGCCGTGCAGATGGCCTCAGTTAGCCTGCTAGCCCCTCTTCACCACAGCAGAACACACACACATACAAACACTCACACCTAGGTGTATGTACACACACACACACACGATAACGCATACACACACACACAGGAACGCAAACACAATGCTAAATCCCAGTGAACGACACCAAATATAACAGCATGGAGGTCCCCTGTAGTGTAGATACTGTAGGGCAGATACAAGTGTACCTCACCCCCTCCACAACCACATCTGAACTGAAGCCAAGAGGCAGGAAACTGCCTGACCACGAATGCTATGGGACAGGCTCAAGGTGATAGGGGACAAGACCTACTGAATTATGTTAATGTAGGTTACGCCAGGTAAAGCTTGCGTGTATAATACATATTTTTATCAGAATGCACCATTGAATCTTACAACGCATTATGACTGGCAGATCTCTCTCTCTGTGTGTGCGCATCTCTCTGTGTGTGAGCGTTTCTCTGTGTGCGCTTCTCTGTGTGAGCGTGCGTCTCTCTCTCTCTCTCTCTCTGAGCGTGCTTCTCTCGCTCTCTGTGTGAGTGTGTGTGCGCGTCTCTCTGTGAGATCGCGTGCTTCTGTATGTGCGTGCGTCTCTCTGTGTGTGTGCACGCGTGCTTCTCTTTGTGTGTGTGTGTGTGTGTCTCTCTCTCTGTGTGTGTGTGTGTGTGTGTGCGTGCGCATGCCCCTCTCTCTCTCCCTCTCCAAATGTCATGGTTACTATGCATTTATTTGGACAAGGAAAATGTTGCCATAAGTGCTAGTGTGTGTGTGCTTACGCGCAGCGTGGGTGTACGTGTGTGTATGCTCGCCTGTGAGTAATCAGACGTGTGCGTGTTGATGGGAGGCAGTATTGCCTGCCAGTACCTCCAGTAGCTCGTCCTCTGGTCTCAGCAGCCCGTGTTTGGCCACGGGGCCCTCAGGAGCCACAGAAGAGATGTAGTGGTGGCCGTCGAACGAGTCCAACTCAACCCCCAGGCGCATGGTGTGGATGGGAAGAAGCTAGAATAGAATAGAATACTTTATTAGCCCATAGAGAACTGTGGAGGTTTTTATTAAGGGGAACTGTGTGGCATTAGGCTCCATTTTGAGTTTGTAACTGGTTGTAACCTTGGAGTACTTCTGTAGCTCAGCGTCATCTTCGATGACAGGGTCCAGCACAACCACCTGGGAAAGACACAAACAATGGCACTATATACTTGCTTCCATGACAATGTAGACTCTATGGTTTGATCCAGTCTCATGTGTCAGCAAATCAAAAAGCTACTAACTGTGCATATTCTATCAAACGAACTGCTGTTAGAAACGTACCAGAACGTCGTAATCTGGCCCCAGGGCCTGCTCCCATTTGGCCCTCAGCTCCAGCTCAGACAGAGAGACTCCCTCCATAGCTGAGAGACACAGTGACAGTGTTGATGCTAGGAGGAATGTTAATAACTGTGGCATATGTACCTTTAAGAGATAAATGTATTGGGGCATTGGGGTCCAGGGATGGGACATTAGGTTGAGGTTTATGTGTGTGTCTGTGTGTCTGTGTAAAAAGAGCTAGCCTGGTCCCAGATATGTTTGTGCTTTTGCCTACTCCATTGTCAAGCCAAACATGACAATTCCAATTCCATAAGGAGTTGGCAAGAAACCAGAAACAGACTGGCACCCAGGCTACAAAATAACTAGGTGATTGGTGCATTTGAGTGAATTTAAACTGACTGTGCCATTATGATGGTTGGTTGTAGACTTGGTTTTACATGTTGCCCAGTATCAGAGATACACTACTATTTGTGTTCCACTTCATTCTATGCAGTTTATACGTCTGTGATTTATCCATTAAATTCAATTGCTATGACGATTCTAGATAACAAAAATACAAAACAAAAGACTCCACAAACAAATGCATTGACTTGAAATAGTTCCATGGTGATTCTAAATCATAAGAATGCAATTACATTTGAAACGGGTGATATCACAATTTAATGTATTCATAGGTTGCACCTTCGTCACTTGGTCGTGTCACGCCATTGTTATGAACATTCTCAATCCACACTCTATCGGCGCCCCCATAGTGGTGCCAAGCCTAGTCATTCTGGACGGAGACTGACTACTGTTTCGTCTAAATTACGAACGTTCAAAACAATATTGTGACAAAACATGCAACCCATGAATAGCAGAAGTAGAAGTTTAGAATGTTTGGTTGTTAGGCGCCAACTCAGTTTTGGTGGCAACAACACAACACGTGCGACTAGCTTCTGCAATCTAAGATTGATAGATTTCTTAAAAATGAGCTTCTGGCACAAGCAAATGGACCAATCTGTAGTACCATGGATAACACAGGAACATCAGTATCTTCCTGGGTAAACTTCTCACACAGTAAGTACCTAACTACACTGGTCAATAAATCTAAACATATTTAACCATACAAATTGTGATGAGTCTTTGAGTGAGATTTCTCCATCTGAAATTCATTAAACAAGATTGATTAACGGCTGAAAACAATTCTGTGTGCGTGCGGCGCATGCGGAGTGTGTGTGTGTGTGTGTGTGTGTGTGTGTGTGTGTGTGTGTGTGTGTGTGTGTGTGTGTGTGTGTGTGGCGCGAACATCACTAGAAACGGCCTGTCCTAGTGCGAGTGAGACAATCATTCCCTCAACTTAGATAGTACCACGGCTGAAATCTTTAACACTGAGGAATAAAAGATCTGATCCATAGCTGTTAAACTTGACACAGTGAGAAATCAAACTTGGGACAAAGATTGCTTCCTGGATCACAAGTAGCTCGGAGTCCAAGCAAATTAATAGGCATGATTCCTGCTCCCCCAGAACTATACTGTAGGGCTCTGTCTCAAATGGCACCCTATTCTCTATATAGTGCACCAAAAGTAGTGCACTTTACAGGGAATAGGGTACCATTTGAGAAACAGCCTAGGACTCTCTTTACAATGAACCTGGGGGGAAATCAGCAGCAGGATGTCGAGGAGGAAATATTATGTTGCGTGTTCATTACCAGTGTAAAGATGTAAAGAGAAACTCTTCAACATCCAGAGAGAGCGCTCACTCCCCTGAACTGACCACAATCACTCCCCATACACACATGGAACCGTTTGAGCAGCGGGTGCATGTGTGTGCCCCTCTCGCTCTGTCAACCCAGTGCATACAAACCCAAAGACCTGTGACATGAGCTCCAGTACTGTACCTGATTAAATTAGCATTGCTAACCCCTCGCCGACGCAGAGCAATTACTCTCCAACGTTTCACTAAATAAATACGATAATACATCGTACTGGGATGTCGAGAAAGGAAGGAACATCTGTTGGCCAGGCAGTGGAGAGGAGCACACACACATACACACAGGACCTAAACATTGACATTACTTTTCAGTCGTTTAGCAAAGAAAAAAAGGAGGTTAGAAAAAAAAAAAATAGGGAGAGAAAAGGAGGGAGAGAAAGAGAACAAATGGGTGTTGGAGCTAGGTTGGACAAGCACAATCAGGCTGGTTCAAGTGTTGAGTTACTGTACTGGCACAGTGGCGCTACCATAAGATATTGTTTTGCAAATGTGTAATGTACTGTGAACGTGAATGTTGATGGTTCATACATCCATTCTTCTACAGTGGGGGAAAAAAAGTATTTAGTCAGCCACCAATTGTGCAAGTTCTCCCACTTAAAAAGATGAGATAGGCCTGTAATTTTCATCATAGGTACACGTCAACTATGACAGACAAAATGAAAAAAAAAAAATCCAGCAAATCACATTGTAGGATTTTTAATGAATTTATTTGCAAATTATGGTGGAAAATAAGTATTTGGTAAATAACAAAAGTTTCTCAATACTTTGTTATATACCCTTTGTTGGCAATGACACAGGTCAAACGTTTTCTGTAAGTCTTCACAAGGTTTTCACACACTGTTGCTGGTATTTTGGCCCATTCCTCCATGCAGATCTCCTCTAGAGCAGTGATGTTTTGAGGCTGTCGCTGGGCAACACGGACTTTCAACTCCCTCCAAAGATTTTCTATGGGGTTGAGATCTGGAGACTGGCTAGGCCACTCCAGGACCTTGAAATGCTTCTTACGAAGCCACTCCTTCGTTGCCCGGGTGGTGTGTTTGGGATCATTGTCATGCTGAAAGACCCAGCCACGTTTCATCTTCAATGCCCTTGCTGATGGAAGGAGGTTTTCACTCAATCTCACGATACATGGCCCCATTCATTCTTTCCTTTACACGGATCAGTCGTCCTGGTCCCTTTGCAGAAAAACAGCCCCAAAGCATGATGTTTCCACCCCCATGCTTCACAGTAGGTATGGTGTTCTTTGGATGCAACTCAGCATTCTTTGTCCTCCAAACACGACGAGTTGAGTTTTTACCAAAAAGTTCTATTTTGGTTTCATCTGACCATATGACATTCTCCCAATCCTCTTCTGGATCATCAAAATGCACTCTAGCAAACTTCAGACGGGCCTGGACATGTACTGGCTTAAGCAGGGGGACACGTCTGGCACTGCAGGCTTTGAGTCCCTGGCGGCGTAGTGTGTTACTGATTGTAGGCTTTGTTACTTTGGTCCCAGCTCTCTGCAGGTCATTCACTAGGTCCCCCCATGTGGTTCTGGGATTTTTGCTCACCGTTCTTGTGATCATTTTGACCCCACGGGGTGAGATCTTGCGTGGAGCCCCAGATCGAGGGAGATTATCAGTGGTCTTGTATGTCTTCCATTTCCTAATAATTGCTCCCACAGTTGATTTCTTCAAACCAAGCTGCTTACCTATTGCAGATTCAGTCTTCCCAGCCTGGTGCAGGTCTACAATTTTGTTTCTGGTGTCCTTTGACAGCTCTTTGGTCTTGGCCATAGTGGAGTTTGGAGTGTGACTGTTTGAGGTTGTGGACAGGTGTCTTTTATACTGATAACAAGTTCAAACAGGTGCCATTAATACAGGTAACGAGTGGAGGACAGGAGCCTCTTAAAGAAGAAGTTACAGGTCTGTGAGAGCCAGAAATCTTGCTTGTTTGTAGGTGACCAAATACTTATTTTCCATCATAATTTGCAAATAAATTCATAAAAAATCCTACAATGTGATTTTCTGGATTTTTTTCTTCTCAATTTGTCTGTCATAGTTGACGTGTACCTATGATGAAAATTACAGGCCTCTCTCATCTTTTTAAGTGGGAGAACTTGCACAATTGGTGGCTGACTAAATACTTTTTTTCCCCACTGTATGTGATTAACAGGTCTCGTGACACTACACTGAACTACAGTACAAACAAAGCCCAGATCACAACACCACCTCCAAGCGACAATCAGCCAACATTTGCTCTGCAGTGGACTGGACTAGAATCAGTTTCTAAGATCTTCAACTTTCAATGACTCTTACACACATAAAGTATGGGTGTACCCTAAATGGCACCATTCCCTTTATAGTACAATACTTTTGACCAGGTTCCATTGGGTCTTAGGGAATAGGGTCCCATTTGGTATTTCTGCTTCAGGTGATACTTCCAAAGCAATCAACTTTAATTGAGAGACAAATACCTTAAACCTTCTCTCTTTGCCCTAATCACATAACAACCATGGTCAAACCATCATGCCTAATGAGTGTCACTGATTATATCCCTAATAATTATACACAACAACAAATTGACTGTAGATTCCAAACAAAGGTTGTTTTGATTTTGCACGCACACACTCTTGCATGCACGCACGCACGCAACACGCACACACGGAAATAAGCCCTTGACAAGCAGTCATTGCTATCCGTGGGGCTTGTATTGGCTCCCCTGTGCAACAGAATACTTTATTATGGAGATTTGGCAGGTAAAGGGTCTTGTCAGGATTCATTAGATCCGAGTGTAACATGAGCCCCACACACACACACACACACTTCCCCTGTTCCCAGCTCTAGCCCCCTGCTATTCCGTTACCCCCTCTCTTCCCCTTCTTTCCTTTCTTGATATTTATATCTTGCAGGGTGGATGTGTAGCATGTCTCCAACAGTGTCCAACAAGCCTGCTGTGGAGGCTGATGAAAGAGGGGGTGGAGGAGTGGTTTAGGGGGGTACGGGGATGGAATGGTTGGGTTTGAATGACTGCGTGGTCCGCCGATGACCCGGACACAGAGAGAGGGGAAGGGGTGTGGGGTGGAGGGGGTGGAAGGGTGTAATACAGGATCAGCTTCCAGTGCTTATGTAGTGACTGACTGTATATAAAAAGAAACAGTAGGCAGACAACAATGGGGGGAGGATTAAAAAAATAGAAGGAAAGTGATAGAAACTTTGTGGTGCAGACACTTAAACCAATCACCTCATCTGGACAAGGAATATTTGTTTATTGTGACTTCTTGTTCTGTCACTAATGTGCAACAGGTACTGGCACACTACCTGGTTAAATGACAATGTGACAGTTGACAGGGATGTTGCCCCCTAGTGGCCGACTATCCAACAGTCAGCTAGCAGCGCTGTGTTTACGCAGTATGTGTAAGTGACCGCTACCTCCATCTAGACAACAGATGACTGACTGGGAGTGCGTCTATGGAGTAATGAGGCGTGTGTGTGTGTGTGTGTGGGCGTTGTTCTATGACTAACCTGCCCTAACCCAGGCACTGGGAGCATGAGGGGACAGAATGAGAGAGAGAGACAGAGAGAGTGAGTGAGTGAACAGAGGATGGATGGATAGATGAATGAATAGACGGACCGACGGATGGATGAGCTCACCGCTGGCCAGCTGTGTTCTGCTGGTGCTCATCAGAAGTGTCTCAGTGGGCTCCAGTAGGGGGGCCACGCTGGGGGCCCTCTGCAGGTCTGACGACCGAGCCTTGATCTCTGCAGACCTCTTCAGAGACACACGCGACGGCTCTCTCTGGACTACAACACAAACACAGAGGCATAAGAGCACACAACGTATCTGTTTATTTAGTCATATCTGTGGTGCAGTTCTGACATATCATATGAAACACCAGCAGCCAGACAAAACAGCCATACTGGTCAGAACATAAGGCTGGTTGGAAAGACATGTGTTGGGGATATTTGTGGTTAATTTGAGCCAGGCGTTGCACAAATGAACACTCAATCACATTGTGTGTGTGCGTGACCACATTCAACGACATTACACCCACTGCCAACAATACACATGTATTCAGAATAAATCTGGTTGTGGATTTTTTGAGAAAAATATCCAGTTTTAGCTTGGATGGCCTGACAGGAAGTGGTACAAGTTCACTGCTCACAGTGCGTTAGTTACTTCGTCCTAGATGACCCGGGGGAATATTTTTATCTGAGCGTTATATAGGATTTAACATAGTTCCTCTCTATTCATTTCTGATTCCCGCTCCAGTGCCTTCACCAGTGCCTTCAGAAAGTATTCATACCCCTTGACCTTACAGTCTGAATTTAAAATTGATCAAATATGTATTTTCCTCACCCATCTACACACAATATGACAAATATGACACATAATGACAAAGTGAAAACATGTTTTTAGAAATGTTTGCATATTTATTGCAAATGAAATTCAGAAATCTCTCATTTACTTAAGTATTCACACCCGAGTCAATACTTTGAAGAAGCACCTTTGGCAGCGATTACAGCTGCAAGTCTTTCTGGTTAAGTCTCTAAGAGCTTTCCACACCTGGATTGTACAACATTTGCCCATTATTCTTTTTTTTTTAAATCTTCAAGCTCTGTCAAATTGGTTGTTGATCATTGCTATAAAAAATGTCAAGTAGATCCAAGTCAAAACAGTAACTCGGCCACATTCACCGTCTTCTTGGTAAGCAACTCCAATGTAGATTTGGCCTTGTGTTTTAGGTTATTGACCTGCTGAAAGGTGAATTCCTCTCTCACTGTCTGTTGGAAAGCAGACTGAACCAGGTTTTCCTCTAGGATTTTGCCTATGCTTAGCTCCATTCTGTAAATTTTTTATCCTGAAAAACACCCCAGTCCTTAACGATTAAAAGCATACCCATAACATGACACAGCCACCACTATGCTTGAAAAAATGGAGAGTGGTACTCAGTCATGTATTGTATTTGGATTGGATTTGCCCCAAACATAACATTTGTATTCAGGACAAAAAGTTAATTGCTTTGCCACATTTTTTGCAGTATTACTTTAGTGCCTTGTTTCAAACAGGATTAATGTATATAGTCCCCTGTAGCTATATAGTCCCCTGTAGCTCAGTTGGTAGAGCGTGGGGCTTGCAACGGCAGGGTTGTGGGTTCGTTTCCCATGAGGGGCCAGTATGAAAATGTATGCACTCACTAACTGTAAGTCGCTCTGGATAAGAGCGTCTGCTAAATTACTAAAATGTAAATGTAATATTATTATTCTGTAGAGGCTCCGTTCTTTTCACACTGTCAATTAAGTTAGTATTGTGGAATAACTACAATGTTGTTGATCCATCCTCAGTTTTCTACTAATCACAGCCATTAAACTCTGTAACTGTTTTAAAATCACCATTGGCCTCATGGTGAAATCCCTGAGCGGGTCCCTTCCTCTCCAGCAACTGAGTTAGGGAGGAGGCCTATATCTTTGTAGTGACTGGGTGTATTGATATCCAAAGTGTAATGACTAACTTCACCATGCTCAAAGGGACATCCATTCTATTTTTACCCATCTACCAATAGATGCCCTTCTTTGCGAGGCATTGGAAAACCTCTCTGGTCTTTGTGGTTGAATCTGTTTGAAATTCACTGCTCAACTGAGGGACCTTACAGATAATTGTATGTGTGGGGTACAGAGATGAAGCGTCAATCAAAAATCATGTTAAACACAATTTTTGCATTAGTCCATGCAACTTATTATGTGAATTGTTAAGCAAATTATTACTCCTGAACTTATTTAGGCTTGCCATAACAAAGGGGTTGACTACTTATTGACTAAATACATTTCAGCTTTTAATTTTTTATTAATTTATAAAAAATCCTAAAAACATAACTCCAGTTTGACATGATGGGGTATTGTGTGAAGGCAAAAAATCTCAATTTAATCAATTTTAAATTAAGGCTGAAACACAACAATAATGTGGGAAAAGGGGTGTGAATACTTTCTGAAGGCACTGTATCCTAGGCCCTCCGAGGACAACACAAGTCAAGTAGACTACATGAGAGAGAAGGCCAGTGTGTGTGCGTGTGTGTGTGTACATACAAGTCTGTTTTAGTGTGTGTGTGTTCGGCTTGGGCAGTATACCGGGGTATTTTGAAATACAGTCAGTATGACTTTGAAAACCGTCAATAGCGTATAAAAATCTGGATGCCGCCCAACCCTAGTGTGCGTACCTTTACATTTGAGTCATTTAGCAGACGCTCTTATCCAGTGCGACTTACAGTTCATACTGGCCCCCGTGGGAATCGAACCCACAACCCTGGTGTTGCAAGCGCCATGCTCTACCAACTGAGCTACACGGGGCCCCCGTGTACAAGGCTAGCAGTCTTCAGTTAGCACTGTATGCCGTTCCCCCATCGGTGTAATGAAACAAAAGGAGTCCAGGAGAGATAAGATTCCCACTGTGGCTTAACTTGCTCTTCTAAATCACCTCCCGCAACGCTGGGCTTACCAATAGCTGTGGAAGTGACCAACGGACACGGACTCGTAGAAGTCGCAGGAAATTAGGTTGTAGATCTTGGGACGCTTTGCCGACGAGATACTTTTGGGAAATTACAGCAAGTAAACACATTCCTTATCGCAATCTTCCCCTCTGATGCTGGATGGTAATTGGAAATGGCCGGAAGGAGTATGAACTTATTGGATGACACCCTATTCCCTATAAAATGCCTTCAGAAAGTACTCACACCTCTTGACTTTTTCCACAATTTGTTGTGTTCCAGCCTGAATTTAAACTTGTTTACATTGAGATTTTGTCTCACTGGCTTACACACAATACCCAATAATGTCAAAGGTGAATTATGTTTTTTTAATGACTACCTCATCTCTGTACCCCACACATACAATTATCTGTAAGGTCCCTCAGTCGAGCAGTGAATTTAGACATAGCACTGCCTATAGACAGAATAGAAATCACAAGCCACTTTAAGAAATGGAACACTAGTCACTTTAATAATGTTTACATATCTTGCATTACTCATCTCATATGTACATACTGTATTCTATACTATTCTACTGTATCTTAGTCCATGCCGCTCTGACATCGCTCGTCTGTATATGTTGTGAAATTGTTAGATATTAGCATTTCGCTACACCCGCAATAACATCTGCTAAACACGTGTATGTGACCAATAACATTTGATTTGGAATTTCAAACACAGATTCAACCCCAAAGACCAGGGAAGTTTTCCTATGCCTCGCAAAGAAGGGCACCTATTGGTAGATTGGTAAAAATAAAAAAGCAGATATTGAATATCCCTTTGAGCATGGTGACGTTATTAATTACACTTTGGATGGTGTATCAATACACCCAGTCACTACAAAGATACAGGCGTCCTTCCTAACAGTTGCCGGAGAGGAAGGAAACCGCTCAGGGATTCACTATGAGGCCAATGGTGACTTTAAAACAGCTACAGAGTTTAATGGCTGTGATAGGAGAAAACTGAGGATGGATCAACAACATTGTAGTTATTCCACAATACTAACTAGTTATTCCAAAATCCAATAAAACTGCAAAAAATATGGCAAAGAAATTAACTTTACGTCCTGAACACAAAGCGTTTTGTTTGGGGCAAATCCAACACATCACTGAGTACCACTCTTCACATTTTCAAGCATGGTGGTGGCTGCGTCATGTTATGGGTATGCTTGGACTAGGGAGCTATTTTAGGATAAAAAGAGACAGAATAGAGCTAAGCACAGGCAAAATCCTAGAAGAAAACCTGGTTCAGTCTGCTTTCCAACAGACACTGGGAGACAAATTCACATTTCAGCAGGACAATAACCTAAAACACACGGCCAAATATACACTGCAGTTGCTTACCAACACAACATTGAATGTTCCGGAATGGCCGAGTTACAGTATAGACTTAAATCTGCTTGAAAATCAATGCAAGACTTGAAAATGGCTGTCGAGCAATGATCAACAACCAACTTGACAGAGCTTGAAGAATTGTAAAAAGGATAATGTGCAAATATTGTACAATCCAGGTGTGCAAAGCTCTTGGAGACTGAATGACGCACAGCTATAATCGCTGCCAAAGGTGATTCTAACATGTATTGACTCAGACGTGTGACTATTTATATAAATTTGATATATTTCTGTAATTCATTTTCAATTCATTTGCAAAAATTTCTAAAAACATGTTTTCACTTTGTCATTATGGGGTATTGTGTGTAGATGGGTGAGAGAAAAATATATTGAAACCATTTTGAATTCAGGCTGTAACACAACAAAATGTGGAATAAGTCAAGGGGTATGAATACTTTCTGAAGGCACTGTATCCTTCAAAGTCAACTCTGGACCTCGAATCCAGTTCCACTGCATTTTTTTCGTTGTTCCCTTCAAATCAGGGACTGAGGTGGGTACAATTCATTATCAGATAGAAGAGAAAACCAGCAGGCTCTGAACCTCGTAGGGTCAGAGTTACCCCTGCCCTATGTAATGCACTACTTTTGATCAGGGCCCATAGGGAATAGGGTGCCATTTGGGACGCACCCCAGGACAGTGGAGTTGGGATGGTGAAGTTGACATTTCTGCCGACTTTGCTAAGGGAAATGCCCATAGGTTCTATGAAGTTAGTGGATATACAGTACAGTGCTGTAGCAGGGGTAGTGACACGTTTGTAATACACACGCACATTCATGCGCACACGCACAGACGACTGATGAATAGTCCTTACCTTTGTCCAGGGACCTCTCCAGTGAGGGTCTGGGCGAGGCCATCTTCCTGGCCAGGGTGAGGTGGACCGTCTGGCCCGTCTGCTTCATCACATCCAGAACTTCCTGGTTAGTGAAGCCCTGCAGGCTCACACCGTCCATCTGACAACGGAACAGTCCAAAATTACTTAGTTCACCCTATCCATCTGAACCAATGGAAAAGTCCAAAATTACTTAGCTCACTCCGTTCATCTGACACAATTGAACAGGCCAACATGACTCATCAAGTAATTGAGAACACATTCTCTATTTCTATAGAAACCTGACAAAGGCCTGATATGGTTGTGTTATACTGTGATGTATGGTTTTGTTGGTTAGGTGAGTCCTAGCCGTGCACTAACAAACCTGATTCAGCTTTAATAATCTAATCACCAAGACCTTGGTTAGCTAAATCAGGTGTTAGTGCTGTGTTGGGACATTTCAATAAGGGGTAGAAAATGCCACTAGATCCTCACTGTGCACGTACACACCTAGGGGTTAATGAAGGTGGCACTCATTAAAAGCTGATTAAGGGTCTTACCGCTATAATCCTGTCGTGGATCCGTATGTTTCCGCTCTGCTCAGCTGCACTCCCAGGAACTACGTTCTTCACAAACACCCCCAAAGCGTCTGAGACACACACAGAGCGAGAGAGAGCGAGAGAGAGGGGAGAGAAAGAGGGGAGAGAAAGAGGGGAGGAAGAGCTCAGGGAGAGGGAGAGATCAGGGAGCGAGAGAAAGGGGTGAAGAGAGAAAGAGCGATAAAGGGAGAGGGCAATAAAGAAACTATCCATCCCAACCAGTGTCATCAAAGCATTGAGTGACATTAGCTATCGGATCTGAGTGCCAATAGGGATTAGGGGCCTACCTTCGCTGGTAAAGGCGTTGTAACCGATGATGGAGATGCCCAGGCTCTGGCCCTCCTTCTTCTTCAGAGGCACTTCATGGATCTCATAACCCTCCAGGTTGGGCTGGAACAAACAGGGAAACAGACAGAGATATAGAGCAGCTATACAGTACGTGGATTGTTGTCATTTTATGGATGCAGTCACCAAAACATCATTTTGTGTGTGTGTGTGCACGTAGACAGGCAGGGACAACAGGAGGTCTGCATGGTTGGATGTGTGTGTGTGTATGTATGCACGCTTATGTTCTCCATTCCCAGTCTCACTTACAGTCCTGCTGACCCTGCGCTGGGGTCCGACTCCAGGCAGTGGGGGCAGGGCTGAGATGGGACTGGTGGCGGGCGGGGGAGGGGGAGGCAAGGAGGTGGAGGGCTGTCCCAAAGGGTCACGGGCGATGAGCATGCGCACACGGCTCCCGCAGCCCTGCAGCACCTTGACCACCTGGTCACTGGCCAGGCCCCAAGTGGGGGTCTCCCCGATACGCAGGATATGGTCGCCCGTACGCAGACGCCCATCCTAGGAGGGGGAGTAGAGAGAGAGAGAGAGAGAGAACATTTCTGAACAAAATTTTTACAAACTTGAAATATACTGTAGATCATACACAAGCATTATAATTCATGGCCTAGGAATAACCGCACCCTCCATGTATTTCACTTAATTTCTTACAGTTTGTTAAAGTGTGCCAGTACATGTAAGAACCACCCAGAAACTCTGCTCATTTTCAGTAGCCTCAGACTATTTCAGCCAATGTGGTCCAATGCATTTTACATCCCACTTGAACAGGCTAGTCCCACCCTGGTCTGGCCTGGCACGCGCAGCTAAACTAGGAAATATATTCCCCGACTCGCAGGTCAAGCAGAATCAACTCAGGGGAAAAAGAGAAATCATGATCCACAAAGAGATGGGGAGAATGGCAGCCTTTGTGGAAAGACGGATGAAAACCGTTTGATGCATAAACTTGGTGCAGGAAATCTCCCCAACTTCTCTTCCTGGGTAAAAGTACGGGACAACAGGGGCACATGGAAGCCGGGCACGGCCATTAAACGTTGAAATGGGAAACGCCAGGGTCTAACAAAGCCCCAGTTTTGACAGCTTTTTTGGAGCATCAAATCCAGTGATGTGTGAAATGTTGCACTGTGCCTTTTGAACAAGCAGGGTTTTGTTGCCTGTGCCCGGGCTCTCTTGGACATTCAGAGAGAAAGAGAGCGAGAGAAAGGGAGGGAGGGGAAGAGAGAGGGAGAGAGAGAGAGAGGGAGCAACAGAGAGAAAGATACAGAGAGAGACAGAGACAGGGGGAGAGAGAGAGAGAGGGTGGGAGAGAGAGAGTGGGGGAGAGAGAGAGGGTGGGGAGAGAGAGAGAAAGAGAGAGAGAGAGAGAGGGTGGGAGCTGGGTGGAGGAGGCGGAAGTTGGAGAGTCTTCCGAGTTTTTGCTTCGTTTCTATCTCTTCGCTCATCTCTCGCTCCTCCTCGCTCTCTCTCTCTTTTCGGCCGCCTCCTCTCTCTCTGTTTTGTCTCTCGCGCTTTTGTTTTGCCGCTCTCTCTTTTTTGCTCCGCTCGCGCGCGCGCTCTCTCTTCTGCCTCCGCGCTGTTTGTAAGGGGGCTTTCAAAAACAAGGACAGTGTTATTTTTATCCAGATCGCTCCTGGATAATACTTTAATTGTAAACCTTTGGTGAACATCTCTGTAATTGCGAACAGAAAAGCGGTCCTACGAGCCGGATGCAGGGCGAGCTGGCTCTGTGTAGCCAGGATGTAATCCCCTTACAAGGTGATTCTTTTTTCCCCCCTCCGGCTCAATGGCTATTATAATGTAACTGAGCCTTTTGTGGGACGCGCTCTGCATTAATTCAGCTAAACTGGCTGTTACCATTCATAGGGGATGACCGGTCTGTTACAGAAGGATAAGGAAGTAGAAAGCTTTTTAAAGCAAAGCCCTGAGTATGTAATGGTGTGGTCGGCCTACTGCTGAGGACTATTGTGCAATGGAAAAGGGTCACGGCCTACGTCTTAATCGTCTAATAAAATTCTTAATTTGACCTTTCGAAATTGACTAGCGCTGTTATTGACAAATCCGTTTATGGATACATTTATTTCATCTTTGAGATGAAGCATAATATTTACCACTGGCATAACTCATTGTGAGTGAATCCAACAGCTAAATGGCAATCCCATGACAAGAGTTGGCAAATAGAATAGAAAACACAAATGAAACGTCTATTAATGTGGGCATCATCAGATACCTCTGTTCAGGGTGGAAAAGTCCTGAAACTTTCCCAAAATTCCATTGATTTTCAGAAATCCAGGTTGGAGGATTTTTAGTATTAGGAGAGAATAGCTGCAAGTGAATCCTACAACCTGGAAATTATTCAAATGGGATTTCTGAAAAACCTTGGAATTTGGTGAAAGTTTCCAGAAAATTGCAACCCTACCTCTTAACAGACTACGCCATCTACAGGTAACTGCCAAAATAAAGGAAACACTTGAGTAAATGAGGGATAAAAAGTATATTGAAAGCAGGTGCTTCCACACAGGTGTGGTTCCTGAGTTAATTAAGCAAATGACATCCCATCTTGCGTAGGGTCATGTATAAAAAATACCCAGTTGCCCATTATTTTGGCTACAATGGCTAGAAGAAGTGATCTCAGTGACTTTGAAAGTGTCAAAAGAGCATAGGGGGTTTCACCCTAAAGAGTCTAAGCCCTGTCTAAGCCAGGGGAGGGGGGTTCTAAGCTAACATATGGAATTGTTTTAAGATACCAAGGATCATTTTGCTATTTGATTTTGAATTTTAAGACCCCTTAAGGTATAAAAAAAAAAGTATTACAAAATTATTGGATGAATTTGGCATTACTGCTATAAGCCAATAAAAAACACATTGAGTAACAGTTTCACTAAATGGAACAACAGATTTTTTTATATTTAGTTTTACATGTATTTATCCCTTTATTTTAGGCACTAAACTATTTCCATATATATGTTTTCGTGAGAAGACCGATTTTCAGGATGTCTCATGGTCTGACAAACACCGTTCTAGCTCTGCCACCTTTCACCGCAGACGCGGAAGGATATTGGCGGAAGCGGTGAATTGAGACGCAGCCCATGCAAAAAAACATATCTCTAGCTTAAACAGACAGATTGTATTATGTTAATTAGGTTTCCGTGGGGGCACAACCATTGTAGGCCGAGGTTTAAAGGGTGTGTGTGTGTCTCAGTCACCAGATCGCAACCTAATTTAACACTTATGGGAGATTCTGGAGCGGCGCCTGAGACAGCTTTTTCCACCACCATCAACAAAACACCAAATTACGGAATTTCTCCTAGAAGAATTATGTTGCCTCCCTCCAATAGAGCTCCAGGCGCATTGAAGCTGTTCTAGCGGCTTGTGCTTGCCCAATGCCCGATTAAGAGACTTTATGTTGGTGTTTCCTTTATTTTGGCAGTTACCTGTATTAACTTTCATAGCATGAGTGTATGTTATGTTCAATATACCTTATCAGCCACGCTGTTTGGCACCAGGGTCCTGACCACCACCCCCGTGGCCTTGCCTCCAACAATCCCGAAGCCCAGGCCAGAGCCGTCGTTCACCAGCTCCATCTCCTCTACATGGCCCCACTGCTCCTGGACGCTCTATACAGCGAGAGAGAGAAAGACAAGATAAGAGTGAATGATTGATTCATATAACCTCAATATGTGTGAGCAGGGCTGTGATAGAATATCAGTGATTGAAGGCTAATCCTGTTCAATAATAAGACAAAATTGGGCTTGCTGCAACATGGTGGCGAAGAGATTGGAACTGTAGTTCTGGACTAAAAAGCATGTTCAATAAGAAGAAGAAGAATCTTCATTAAAAGTGCTTCTTAGTCCAGGACTAGAGTGAAACCGACCCTTAGTCTGAGGCCTGCCAGAGTAAGCCTTATCAATTATCAGTGCATACGTGACCTGCAATATTAACTTAAAACTTCACATGGCTGTGGCTAACTACATGGCTGTGGGGAAATATTGGGCCCAACTTAATGGTTTTCGCTAAACGTCCAAAATATAAAACAAGCGGCTGATCAACGTCGAGGTCAGTGAGTCCCTTGGGTCCTGTTCTAAAGCCTCCGCTAACCTCTCGGATCACACACACACTCCCCCCATCCCGTCCCAATCAAAACCATGTCTCCTCCTAGGCTTTTATTAACCAACCAATCGGCTGCTGCAATCAGAGCAGCTCTTTTCTCTTATTACACAGCGTTATCTGATGGGTGACTTCCTCTGCAGTTTTCTCTCTATCTAATGAAACCTCATTGTGGTGTCTTACGTACTGCAGCCCCTGGGGAGACAAAGCCTTTCTACCACTCCTGCTCACTACTTATCCCGCTTACTACAGAAAAGTTAAGAGCAATTTCCCAGATAAGAAGTGGAGCTTCACAGTCAGTAAAACAGATGTGTTTTGTGGCAAGGGCTGGTTTCCGTCTGAGCTTTCAGGTTCAAATGAACGAGTGTTGCCTGTTCACTTACGAGCAGAGTTGTAAGCAGGCTTGGTTAAGTTCAATAAGCAACTTTGTGAGAGTAAGTATGCAGATTCAATAAAACTTGTTAGACAACTTCTACAGTCTGTGTGTACATGTCTTATTCTGAAAATAGAGCATCTAGATGTGAAGAGTCTACCTGCTGGGTTTAACAGTATACAAAGGCATTCTGTGACTTAGGCTAATTGATTTGACCACAGAAAATGTATGTTTACATGCTACTGTTATATAATGGCAACTGAACAGAGCCTGAATTATCATAATTCATATAGGCCTCGCAATTATGACTGTTAGAACAATAACTATTCACTAAACTAGACATCATGAGATGAAATGAAACACAGGATTTGATCAACTTCATTAATGGAACTAAAGACCTAATATACACCTGATATTCTCAATCCCATAAATGCTGTGAGCAGGGACGGAAACAAATTCTGGAAAAACTGTGGGCCAAATTGCATTTCCTTCCATATTGACAGTTCAGCCCCATGAAAGGTTACAGAATTATTAGACAAACAGCAGAGAGTTGTCTTATGAAACCCAAACAAACACAGGTCTGGGTTAATAACAGTTTTAATGAGAAAGCCATAACGAGAACATGCAACCCAGGCACTCAGTTTCAGAGAAGAAAAACAGTTTTACTGGGAGCCTGGGACAACATGCCTTCTAGATCATCCCACCTGGAAGCTCGGTCCATATTAGGAATAGTCATGCTTATCCTATATCAGCACTCAGACTTTGTGAATAAGGGCACAGGGCATCTCGTTACAGTATAGAAGTGTATCACGTCAGAATGGTTTTAAAATGTTCAAAGAAACATAGGGTTTAAGATTATGCCAACGTGCTCTAGAAGCCATGTTTAGTGAGAATGTCAGGTATGAGGTGGGTGGATAAGAGCGTCTGTACAATACGAAGGAAACCAACCCCTGAAGCCAACCTAGGCCAATATTTTCTCAGCTTTTCACGATAAGACAGCTAGTCCGGATGGACAGAGGGCAGGGGAGCTTGTTTAAAAGGGGAGCTGAGGAGAGGAACATTTGTTTTTAAGGGGAAGATTCAGTTGATGGGTATCGGGGACGAGAGGGGACGAATGACATCATGACCTCTGATTGACAGGTGACTCATCGTGCGGAGTTCACATTGCCTTTGGTGTCCCACAAGAGTAAAGAGGAGATTGTTTTCTGTCTATACGGGACACTGTCACGCTGACGAAAACTATGACAGAATAAATACGGAATAAACAGGATCGCGACAGAATGATTTTATGTTGCCTTTTCACAAGTTGGTTATTCCTAATTTATCTGTGTTTACGGTAATAGTTTTCTGACCATTCACAACGGAGAGAACGAGTAGAGGGAGTGGTGCCAAGGGACGATACCAGTACCGCCATTATCCTTAGTATCATAGCAAGGAAACAAAACAAAGCAAATTTTACTTTTAGGAAAGCAGCCCTAATGTCGGAAACAAACATAATTTTGTTTTCATCCAGAGTCACGTTTATTTATTTTCCAAGTTATAGCACACAATATTTTACTTTAAAAGGACCCAACAGTTAGGTCCGCTTCGTGTTTTTATTTTTGCCATGGAAAAAATATTCCGATACTGGTATCGTCACAACCCTAGCGCCAAGCTGTCAATTCAACGTTGCAATGAAGAGAATCAGCGAGCAGTGTCTGGGTTTTTGTAGAAGTGGAATCTTGGCTCAGGGTGATATATCGTTAGGCCGGGAAAACTGCAATAAAAATCAAATCCAGACTTTTCTTTTTTGCCAGCGCTCCATTAAACATGGCCTCAAGAGAAACAGCACATGAATAAAACACAAGGCAAAGCAAGGCCCTGGCTTGATATGTACGCAGGATAGGGCCTCCATCCAAACTGAATTAAAAACAACATGAATAGTGAAAAAGCACAAGATAATGACCTCATAATGGCTGGAACTAGGCCTAACTTGTCTGTGTCATCTCGTTTGCATTAAACTTTTTGTTGTTGTTATTATTTTTGTTTTCGGAGGGCTTTTCTTTGTGGTTATTTAAAGGTCCAATGCAGCCGTTTTTATCTCAATATCAAATCATTTCTGGGTAACAATTACTGTGATTGTTTTCAATTAAAAAACTAAAATAGCTTCATAGCAAAGAGCAAATTCTCATGCAATAATTTTGAGACATGGATTGTGTGTATGCGCCATTCAGAAAGTGAATGGGCAAGAAAAAATATTTCAAAGTGCCTTTGAATGGGGTATGGTAGTAGGTGCCAGGCTCACCGGTTTGTGTCAAGAACTGCAATGCTGCTGTTTTTTTTTACACTCAACAGTTTCCCGTGTGTATCAAGAATTGTCCACCACCCAAAGGACATCCAGCCAACTTGACACAACTGTGGGAAGCATTGGAGTCAACATGGACTAGCATGCCTGTGGAATTCTTTCAACACCTTGTAGAGTCCAAGCCACAACATATTGAGGCTGTTCTGAGGGGGAAAGGGGGGTGCTGTGCAACTCAATATTAGGAAGTTGTTCTTAATATTTTGTACACTCAGTGTATATAAATCACAGGAAAATCACATTTGTGACTGCACTGGGCCTTTAATTAAACTTGCAGCGGTTAGGACTGGTTCTGTTTATAATAAATATATGCCATATGTTTGTTGTCGGAGCTTCAGGTTAATCGTATCCGTCACCCCAGTGTTGATATAGCCCATCTCATTTTCACCCGCTGCAAGTTGCTCATTCTACACCTCCCTTTACATGTCAGTTCTGATAAAAACTTCTACCTATTTTTGACCATTGAGTTTAATGACAATAATGCTTTATCAATAACTACCACTCTTTGCCTTATTATACACTGAACAAAAATATAAACGCAACATGCAATAACTTCAAAGATTTTACTGAGTTACAGTTCATATAAGGAAATTGAAATGCATTCATTAAGCCCTAATCTATGGATTTCACAAGACTGGGAATACAGATATGCATCTGTGGTCACAGATATCTTTAAAAAACAAAAAGGTTGGGACATGGATCAGAAAACCAGTCAGTATCTGGAGCGACCACCATTTGCCTCATGCAGCTCGACATCTCCTTCGCATATAGTTGATCAGGCTGTTGATCGTGGCCTGATGTCCCAATCTTCTTCAATGGCTGTGCGAAGTAGCAGGATATTGGCAGGAACTGGAACGCGCGGTCATACACATCGATCCAGAGCATTCCAAACATGCTCAATGGGTGACATGTCTGGTGAGTATACAGGCCATGGAAGAGCTGGGACATTTTCAGCTTCCAGGAACTGTGTACAGATCCTTGCGACATGGGGCCGTACATTATCATGCTGAAACACGAGGTGATGGCGGCGGATGAAAGGCACCACAATGGGCTTCAGCATCTCTTCACGGTATCTCTGTGCATTCAAATTGCCATCGATAAAATGCAATTGTGTTCGTTGTCCGTAGCTTATGCCTGCCAATACCATAACCCCACCGCCACCATGGGGCACTCTGTTCAAAATGTTAACATCAGCAAACTGCTCGCCCATACGACGCCATTAATGCTGTCTTCTATCTGCCCAGCGCACTTGAAACCAGGATTAATCCGTGAAGATCACATCTCCAGCGTGCCAGTGGCCATTGAAGGTGAGCATGTGCCCACTGAAGTCAGTTACGACACGAAACTGCAGTCAGGTCAAGACCCTGGTGAGGACGACAAGCATGCAGATGAGCTTCCCTGAGATGGTTTCTGACAGTTTGTGCAGTAATTATTCTGTTGTGCAAACTCACAGTTTCATCAGCTGTCCGGGTGGCTGGTCTCAGACAATCCCGCAGGTGGACAAGCCAGATGTGGAGGTCATGGGCTCACTTGGTTACACTGTGGTCTGTGGTTATGAGGCCGGTTGGACGTACTGCCAAATCCTCCAAAACATTGCTCATGGTAGAGAAATGAACATTCAATTCTCTGGCAACAGCTCTGGTGGACATTCCTGCAGTCAGCATGCCAATTGCACGCTCCCTCAAAACGGAGACATCTATGGCATTGTATAGTGTGACAAAACCCCACATTTTAGAGTGGCCTTTTATTGTCCCCAGCACAATGTGCACCTGTGTAATGATCATGCTGTTTAACCAGCTTCTTGATATGCCACACCTGTCAGGTGGATGGATTATCTTGGCAAAGGAGAAATGCTCACTAACAGGAATGTGCACAACATTTGAACAAAGTAGGCTTTTTGAGCACATTAAACATTTCTGGGATCTTTTATTTGGGACCAACTCCTTACATGTTGTGTTTATATTTTTGTTCAGTGTAGGTTACCTGACACTGAATAATCAGATATGAAAGCTAAAATGTAATTTAACAGTTTGAATGAATGAAAAACGTATCAACTAAAAACAGAGCTTTTTATAGTCTTACAGCTTAGATGACCATTGCTCAAAAGACAAGAGGATTTAAAGACATGCATTTTGCCTGTTTTACCCGACAACAAATCTATGGTTCACTTTTTCTATGCATTAGGTCTCCTAACTCTCTTCTTTCCTCTCCTTGACATCCAAGTCTACATTGATTGAGCTAGCGCACAGTGACTTAAATAAATATTGTCAGGAGGCAATCCTGCAAGTGAAGCACTAATTTGATTTCCTTTAGGCTATAGGAACAACAACATCATACACTCAATGTCAACAGCCCACGGGTAGTACGATACTGCATAAATATGAATTTCAAATCCGAATTTCGACTCCTAGAGTCAAGTAGCATCACTTAAAACCTGACCTCCAAACCGGATTCATGCCATTTACTCTCCAGTGATGGTCAAGTGCCTGTTTTGTGTGACAGGCTACAGAATAACAGGAAATAGCCTTGACCTTTATGACAGTGTTAAAAAGTATAAGCTAGATTTTAGACATACTGACGCTCCTGTGCCCTATAGACCCCTGCATAGGAGTCAAATGGCGAGCGATCAGTAGACAACATGAGTTGATCCAGAGCCAAAAAAAACATTGCATTTGCCTAGTTATCGACCCGACTTCTTCCTAGTACTTATATTGATTGGACTTCGCTAAAAACATTGACCTGAAGGCCACGAGGACAAACACTTCAACATTTTTAACCACAATAAATCAATAGTAGTACCACTTTTAAAACAAGAAACAGTTGCCTCCTAATCATGGGTTGCACCTCCATCACGTTGTTGCAATCGTTTTGAACGTTCTACAGACGCCTCAGCCATATTGGTGCCCAGTCATTCTGAACAGGGCCTAATGACCGTTTCGTCTAAATTATACTACAGTAGCGTGGAAATACGATGACATTGCAAAATTTGTCAAATAAGAAGTAGGAAACAACTTTGCCATCATTATGATGTCGTCAAATTTACTTGATGGCAATGGTGCCATTAGCTAGCAAAGCTCGTCAAAAATATACTGAACAAAAATAAACGTAACATGCAACAATTGCAAAGATTTTACTGAGTTACAGTTCATATGAGGAAATCAGTCAATTTAAATGAATTCATTAGGCTCTAATCTATGCATTTCACATGGCCTCAGGATCTTGTCACGGTATTTTTGTGCATTCAAATTGCCATCGATAAAATGCAATTGTGTTCGTTGTCCGTAGCTTATGCCTGCCCATACCATAACCCCACCGCCACCATGGGGCACTCTGTTCACAAAGTTGACATCAGCAAACCGTTCGCCACACGATGCCATACACGTGGTCTGCGGTTGTGAGGCCGGTTGGACGTACTGCCAAATTCTCTCAAACGCAGTTGGAGGTGGCTTATGGTAGAGAAATAAACATTCAATTCTCTGGCAAAAGCTCTGGTGGAAATTCCTGCAGTCATCATGCCAATTGCACTCTCCCTCAAAACTTGAGACATCTGTGGCATTGTGTTGTGTGACAAAACTGCACATTATAGAGTGGCCTTTTCTTGTCCCCAGCACAAGGTGCACCTGTATAAGGATCATGCTGTTTAATCAGCTTCTTGATATGCCACACCTGTCAGGTGGATGGATTATCTTGACAAAGGAGAAATGCTCAATTAACAGGGATGTAAATAAATTTGTGCACAAAAGTTTAGAGAAATAAGCTTTTTGTGAGTATGGAACATTTCTGGGATCTTTTATTTCAGCTCATGAAACATGAGACCAACACTTTACATGTTGCATTAGCTAGCAAAAACTTGGTGCTGTCCCCTCAATCTTAGCTAGCTAAAGTTATACTTCATCTCAAGTCAATCTGGCGACATCACAAAGATGACAAAAGGTTATCCTACTAATTATTTGCCTCCTTTTGAAATGTCACTGTGTTTCCAAGCTTCTATAATGCACTTTAGACTAAATCTTCATCAGCGGACATTGACAAGGCATTGAGTAGAAACTTCAGTTGGGCATCAGTGCACAAGAGAACGTTCAAAACAATATTGTGACGAAACGTGCGATCCATGAATATCTGGTTGCCTGAATCAACCTCAACAAATACAGTCATGCAGCGCTCAAAACAGTGAAAACACAATGCCTTTCATTTATGTATTCGAAAGGGCCAAATCCAATGTAGCACCATGACATGACAGTGGTCTGTATAACATACACTGCTCAAAAAAATAAAGGGAACACTAAAATAACACATCCTAGATCTGAATGAATGAAATAATCTTATTAAATAATTTTTTCTTTACATAGTTGAATGTGCTGACAACAAAATCACACAAAAATGATCAATGGAAATCAAATGTATCAACCCATGGAGGTCTGGATTTGGAGTCACACTCAAAATTAAAGTGGAAAACCACACTACAGGCTGATCCAACTTTGATGTAATGTCCTTAAAACAAGTCAAAATGAGGCTCAGTAGTGTGTGTGGCCTCCACGTGCCTGAATGACCTCCCTACAACGCCTGGGCATGCTCCTGATGAGGTGGCAGATGGTCTCCTGAGGGATCTCCTCCCAGACCTGGACTAAAGCATCCGCCAACTCCTGGACAGTCTGTGGTGCAACGTGGCGTTGGTGGATGGAGCGAGACATGATGTCCCAGATGTGCTCAATTGGATTCAGGTCTGGGGAACGGGCAGGCCAGTCCATAGCATCAATGCCTTCCTCTTGCAGGAACTGCTGACACACTCCAGCCACATGAGGTCTAGCATTGTCTTGCATTAGGAGGAACCCAGGGCCAACCACACCAGCATATGGTCTCACAAGGGGTCTGAGGATCTCATCTCGGTACCTAATGGCAGTAAGGCTACCTCTGGCGAGCACATGGAGGGCTGTGCGGCCCCCCAAAGAAATGCCACCCCACACCATGACTGACCCACGCCAAACCGGTCATGCTGGAGGATGTTGCAGGCAGCAGAACGTTCTCCACGGCGTCTCCAGACTCTGTCACGTCTGTCACGTGCTCAGTGTGAACCTGCTTTCATCTGTGAAGAGCACAGGGCGCCAGTGGCAAATTTGCCAATCTTGGTGTTCTCTGGCAAATGCCAAACGTCCTGCACGGTGTTGGGCTGTAAGCACAACCCCCACCTGTGGACGTCGGGCCCTCATACCACCCTCATGGAGTCTGTTTCTGACCGTTTGAGCAGACACATGCACATTTGTGGCCTGCTGGAGGTCATTTTGCAGGGCTCTGGCAGTGCTCCTCCTGCTCCTCCTTGCACAAAGGCGGAGGTAGCAGTCCTGCTGCTGGGTTGTTGCCCTCCTACGGCCTCCTCCACGTCTCCTGGTGTACTGGCCTGTCTCCTGGTAGTGCCTCCATGCTCTGGACACTACGCTGACAGACACAGCAAACCTTCTTGCCACAGCTCACATTGATGTGCCATCCTGGATGAGCTGCACTACCTGAGCCACTTGTGTGGGTTGTAGACTCCGTCTCATGCTACCACTAGAGTGAAAGCACCGCCAGCATTCAAAAGTGACCAAAACATCAGCCAGGAAGCATAGGAACTGAGAAGTGGTCTGTGGTCACCACCTGCAAAACCAGTCCTTTATTGGGGGCGTCTTGCTAATTGCCTATAATTTCCACCTGTTGTCTATTCCATTTGCACAACAGCATGTGAAATGTATTGTCAATCAGTGTTGCTTCCTAAGTGGACAGTTTGATTTCACAGAAGTGTGATTGACTTGGAGTTACATTGTGTTGTTTAAGTGTTCACTTAATTTTTTTGAGCAGTGTATATCAAAATATGAAGGCATTTTCTTACTGAGATACATAAATACATGCTTTGAACTTACCTTTTGAATGATGGGTCCGGGTGGGAGCAGCGGCGTGTGCTGTGTGGCAGTTGATGGTTCCCGGGCCACCACCAGATCCACCCTGTCCCCAGGCTGCTGCAGCAGAGTGATGGCCTGCTGCTGGGTGACACTCTGGTCCAGGGGGGTCCCGTTGATCACCAGGATCTGGTCGTTCTCCTGCATGCGCCCATCCCTACCGGCACACACACAATACAAATAACGACTATATATTTGTAAAGCCCTTTTTACATCAGAAATGGACATCGTTTTCACAGTAACCCCATCTAGAATAAACAAGGAATGTGTATCTTGTATGTTTTTATGTCATGTTTATTTAACCAGGAAGTCCCATTGAGATAGACACCTTTTTTAAAGGGTCTTCGCTCATAAGGTGTCTCTATAACAGCACAGTGACCTGTCAGTGGTCTGTGTATCCCATTCTTGGCAGTGCCCATTACAAGCAGTGTTAAATTAACTAGAAAAATCTCTGCATACCATTTGTTGATGACATAAGCTGATACAAGCATTGTTTATGAATGTGTAATGTTATCCTTGGAAGTGGGCCTAATAAGAGTTGGCAAACATACTAATCTGCGTATATTGAGGTGTCCTTCACTAGATTATCAGGTAATATGGCAGAATGTTGTCCAAGAGTTGGTCTGAACCAGAGTTGCAAGATTCCGATAACTGTCCCAAAATTCTCAGGTTTTCCAGAAATCCTGGTTAGAGGATTGCACATTTCCTGCTTATTCCATCCTGATTCCAGGAATCGTCCTGGAAATGTTAGGAAAGTTACCAGAATTTCTAAACTCTAACCTGAACCAAATGAACACTTGGGGCAGTAAAAGAGAAGGAGGAGGGACAGTAGGCCGTACCTGTGTGCGATGCTCCCAGGCTGGACCTGTCTGATGAAGACCCCGTGGCCCCCAGTCCCCTCAGGCCTCAGGCCTACCACACTGAAGCCCAGGCCTCCAGACGGGGGCTTGGGCAGGCTGATGTGCTCAGTCGGCCTCCCCTACAACACAAGACACAATTATTACATAGGTCAGGTCATAAATATTCAAATGTCATCTGGTCAAAATGTACAGAACACGTCTCAAATACCCACATACATCGATTTAAAGGGATACTTCGGGATTTTGGCAATGAGGCCCCAACTACTTCCCCAGAGTGAGATGAAACTACCTCTAACTTCCTTCATACTGGACACAGAGACAGAAAAATGGTATCCACAAGTTCATCTAACTCTGGGGAAGCAGATAAATGGCCTCATTGCCAAAATCCCAAAGTATCCCTTTAAAGCTAAAGGCTTTAAATACAGAGGTAACACTGTTTAAAGCTATATCACCACCGAACACAGTAAATTAAATATCCAGGTAAAACTGTTTAAAATCACAATATCTTAATTCTCCACCAAATACAGCACACCAATACACAGGTGACACAGTCTAAAACCACCATCTATCCACCACCAGACCTAGTACACATGGCCATAACCGTGGTAGTATCATAGCTAGCTGTGACAACAGCATCAGGTGGGCGTGTGCGTGGGCAGAACAGGTGCAGAACCTTGGCGGCAGTGTGGAGCCATCTCTGGAGCTGGTCGGGGGAGCGGAGGCCCACTGAGGAGAGGGCTGAGCCATTGGACAGAACCGAGCCGGGGCCGGACGTGCACAGGCTGCTGGCCGGGCGGCTGGCACTGACGATCAGCTGGCCCTTCCTGGAGAAGCTGAACTCACTGCAGGTGTCGGGAGGCATGCAGTTCAGCTGGGGGGAGAAGAGGAGAAGAGAGGAGGTTTGGTGGGTTATTTCACTGTGGCGGATGATGAGGAGGAAGCTATTGTAGAGCTGCTTTGTTTACAAAAAATTAAGTAGAATATTTTCAGTTAACTCTTTAGGGTCTAATACGTTGGGGGGAGGGGGTGCTAAGCTGACACATGGAATTGTTTTAAGATGGTCATAATATGGATCAATTAGCTTTTTTGAATTTTAGGACCCCTTTAGGTATATATAAAAACAATGTATTGACTTTGTGGGAATCACCCCTTTCCACAGTGAGCAAAACTGTTTTGTAGGCCAAACCTTTCGTACACTACAGATGTTTTTGAGAGAAGACCAATTTTCTGGATGTCTCATGGTCTGACAAACACCGCTCTAGCTCTGCCACCTTTCACGGCAGATGCGGAAGTGCGACATCGGCAGATGCGGTGGATTGAGACATATCCAATGCAAAAAAACTGATATCTCTTGCTTAAACTGACAGATTTTGATGGGGATTTTATAAATGATGTTACTTAGACTGACGTACCAGTGTGTCAATCGACTAAAGGGGGTTAATGTGATTATGTGACTAAAGATACAAGGTCAGAGATATCTAATTGGATAAAGCCACACAAAAAAAGGCCAGGCTGCCATTCTAGGCTTTTCTTCAACCAACAACCAACTGTAAGCTACATTCTTTCACATCCAATTTTCCCACGATAGGAAAAAGGGCTGCAGATTAGCGTTTCAGTAAATACAAGAGCAAGAGAAACAATGGTGCCTTTACATGTGGAGACAATGTCTACAAAAAAAAGAAGACAAATAAAAAAAGGGGAGAAAAGGGGGGGATAACAAAATCAATAAATTCCTCTTCAGCAGTAGCAGCTTTGGCCAGTCCCAAACAGGTAATGTATTAATGACCTTTAGACTCACATTGTGGAACGTTATCAGTCTCCTGTTTATTTAGCCCAGGCTGACAGAGCGGCTTTTCCCCGCAATTTCATCAATACATCTCCGACAAGGCAGTTACTCAAACCCAGACAGTAGATATTAAAGCTTGATAGATCCACAAAAGAGCCGACCCGCCAATGCCGCCACCTCCGCCTCTCCATCCCGCTATAGGTTTTCACCTGACGCATTCATAGACACTCGGCTGACCTTCGCAGCACTTAGAATATGAAGGCAGGCATCGGTTATTGCCATTATCTTAATTTGGCATGTGGATTGTTTATTGTTAGTAAGGAGTTCATTTTTTTTACGTCAATAAAAACGTGATCAGAATACAAATGAATGAAAGTGCCAGGCCCCTTTTTTTGATGCCTCCTTTTCAGCTGAAGCAAAAGGTTTAGAATGATGTGTTCTGTAGACTGAACGTACACTGACATTGAGGGGTTTCAACATTTTATACAAATCAGAAATGTTACATAGCATTAAAAATCAACTTTCTCTTGGGATATATTAACTTGGGATACATGTCCGCTATTATAAGTCGGGTTACAAACTCAAGTAATCCGACATATAGCCTTAATCATAAATGGGCCATATAACAAATGAAATGTCCATATCTCACTCCATCACCGTTATGCTCTATTCCTAAGCAATGGGTCCTCAAAGACAGTTTGCACATCATTCTCTGATTATTACCTGGTCTTTAAGTTGTTTGATTGAGTGCTGCAGCGTGAGGATGTGTCCTAGCAATGGGCTCTGTAGGGCATCCCTTAGCACCCCCAGCCTCTCACTGTGGGTCCACTCCTCCCTCTGGGCCATCTTAGCCTGCAGCCGCTCCAAGGCCTGCAGCACCTGCTGGCGCTCCACTGTGGAGACTGAGGCGCACACACACAGGCCCATGAAAACATACATGTACACACACACAGGACATTTTCAATTATTGTGAAATGCATAGTTTTTGCACATTTATATCCCATTCTGTTCATTAAACTGTTCAATAATGAGAGCAGATAAATGTACCTGTTGGGACATTTTCATACATTGTCCTCCCTCAGTCTGGGTATCTTTTGTGATGCAACCTGTAAGGAAATAGGAAGAGAGGTGCAAACATGAAAGACACAACATAAAACAATGAATTTTTATTTTTATTTTATTTCACCTTTATTTAACCAGGTAAGCCAGTTGAGAACAAGTTCTCATTTACAACTGCGACCTGGCCAAGATAAAGCAAAGCAGTGCGATAAAAACAACAACACAGAGTTACATATGGGGTAAAAAATAAACATAAAGTCAAAAATACAACAGAAAATATATATACAGTGTGTGCAAATGTAGCAAGTTATGGAGGTAAGGCAATAAATAGGCTATAGTGCAAAATAATTACAATTAGTATTAACACTGGAATGCTAGATGTGCAAGAGATTATGTGCAAATAGAGATACTGAATCACCTTCAGGCAGTTGAAAATACATCAAATAAAAGGCCCATCAAGAACAATACAACTGATAGCCTCCATTATGTAGTAGGGGCAAAGTGGAACTGATTTTGAGCTCGGTCCATCAAATAGTCTAGGCCTAAACAAAATGTATTGTACACAATACAAAAGTACTGGAAGTCTTCTTCTATGTTTAATTCAAACTCTAGTTTGGTGGCAACTAAAAGTGGGTCAATTTGCCTTTGTCAACTACACAATCGTCCTTCTGTTAGCAAAGCAATAACATGGGTTATTTACATAGCCAGTGAACAAGTTTCGACAGATACAGGCTAGCTTGTGTGGCAATATATCAAGTTGACAAACCTCAAGAAAGTTAGGCTATTATATTAGCTAAAACCAAAAGAAAATGAAGCAACATAGGTTTAAAGTTATCTAGTAGCAATATATTTTGTTTCACACCCTACCTGTCCTTCAGAGGTTTATCACTGAATCCGCACCTTACCTGAAGCAGGAAGTAAATAAACAAATTAAATACATTCAGCTGAGTAGCAAAGTCGGGCGAAAGACAAATAACAATGTACAGTAGTGGCAAAACTGATCCACAAAAGCACTCAACTATCACTTTGCTTGTGAGCAAGGTTTATACTGTAAAGGCCTAACTTTAGAGATGTTTCGCTTTACATGCAACAGGTGCACAGAATCATCATATGTTTCTTTCGGTCTAGCGTAGCTGTAGTTGGCTAACTAATCCAAAGCATGAAGTAAAAAAATGTTATTTTGTTTGAGTAAGGACGGTTAGCGAACTAGGTTCTTATAACAGCTTTGTCTGAAGATAATATAACTCCATAAAACAACTTGTAACGTTAAATGCTACCATAGCTTCTCGAATTCTTCAGCTAACTTAGCTAGATAGCTAGCCAACTTCAGTGAGTCAGCTAGCTACTGACAGTAGTCCTGCTATCTTGTTGTTAGCTAGCTAGCTAATAAGCTGTTGCGATACAAAACTGATTTGCTAGCTAGCATTAGCATGTTGTTTTTTGCATTTTACAAGGCTAAATGAGTTTACCACTTGAATGGTAAGACTCTTATAGCTTAACCTGTTCAAAGTTATCAGTTCAACTACTTTTAAAGATGAAAACAAGTCTTACTGGTACGAATTCACAGGAGTTCGGTCTTGGAAGATACAGTACTCAGATGTGTCGCTTTAAAAACTTTTGATGTCACGTGACGAAGTGTGGGCGTGTTGTCAACATGGCGTCTCACAGGAGTCGGCTGTTTTGTTTACGGACCCTATCGTTGAGCATCTTCTTTTATTACACGTATTGCCATTTTCAACTTGTTCTCGGAAATGATGTCGATAGCTGTAAAAATCTACGCTTGGGACAATATCCTTTTACATTTGATTGTTAGCAAATCACGACAATGATGACAGGGTTTTTATTCAAGCTTGCTAGCTAACGTTACCTGGCTAGCTCTATCTGTGTTAACATACTTTCGCTTGGCTATCTAGCTAACAACATAAGCATGCATAGTGTGTACTTTTGGAAAACAGTATAGCTAGCTAATCAGATTGTGAAACAGTCTCGGTCTGAACATTAACATGCATTGCTTCGTTACGGTTTTGGAAGCAAAATGATCTTATTTTTCATATCAGCGAGAAATCATTAAACAAATACAAAAGGTTACATTGATACACATCTTTTATAGGGTTAGGGTTAGTGTACTGTTCCCACAAGGCCATATCTCCATGTTACAGGGAGATTTAAAAAATCCCCTCTATAATAAAGCATTGCACGGATCTAATCGCATTTGCGTAGTGGCAAACAGTTGAGCAATGGTGGAAAAAGTACCAAATTGTCATACTTGAGTAAAAGTAAATATACCTTAATAAAAATGACTCAAGTAAAAGTGAGTCACCCAGTAAAATACTACTTGAGTAAAAGTCTAAAAGTATATGGTTTTAAAAGTACATTTAATTGCAAAAATGTACTTAAGTATCAAAAGTACAAGTATAAATCATTTCAAATTGTTTATATTAAGCAAACCAAACGGTACAATTTTCTTGTTTAAAAAATATATATTTACAGCTAGCCAGGGGCACACTACAACATCATTTACAAACTAAGCATTTGTGTTTAGTGAGTCCTCCAGATCAGAGGCAGTAGGGATGACCAGGGATGTTCTCTTGATAAGTGCGTGAATTTGACCATTTTCCTGACCTGCTAAGCATTCAAAATGTAACGAGTAATTTTGGGTGTCAGGGAAGATGTATGGAGTAAAAAGTACATTATTTTCTTTAGGAATGTAGTGAAGTAAAAGTAGTCAAAAATATGAATAGTAAAGTACAGATACCCCAAAAAACTACTTAAGTAGTACTTTAAAGTATTTTTACTTATTGACTTTATACCACTACAGTTGAGCAGACACGTTTTTAGGATTTCCACACAGTTTTTTGTTGTTGTTGCAGGGTCTGGATTTTATTTGTTGCATGTTATAAAAACAAATTTCGTGCAAATCAAATCAAAAGTTATTTGTCACATACACGTGTTTAGCAGATGTTATTGCGGGTGTAGCGAAATGCTTGTGCTTCTAGCTCCGACAGTGCAGTAATATCGAAGAAGTAATATCTAACAATTTAACAACATATACCCAATACACACAAATCTAAGTAAGGAATGGAATTTAAGAATATATACATATATGGACTAAGATCCAGTAGAATATTATAGAATAGAATACAGTATATACATATGAGATGAGTAATGCAAGATATGTAAACATTATTAAAGTGACTAGTGTTCCATTTCTTAAAGTGGCCAGTGATTTCAATAGGCAGCAGCAGCCTCTAATGTGCTAGTGATGGCTATTTAACAGTCTGATGGCCTTGAGATAGAAGCTGTTTTTCATTCTCTCGGTCCCAGCTTTGATGCACCTGTACTGACCTCACCTTCTGGATGATGGCGGGGTGAACAGGCAGTGGCTCGAGTGGTTGATGTTCTTGATTATCTTTTGATGATCCGGTAATGCGTTCGGCAGACCGCACCATCATCTTGAGAGCCCTGCGTCAGCGGGCGGTGCAGTTGCCGTACCAGGCAGTGATACAGCCCGACAGGATGCTCTCAATTGTGCATCTGTAAAAGTTTGTGAGGGTTTTAGGTGGCAAGACAAATTTCTTCAGCCTCCAGAGGTTGAAGAGGCTCTGTTGCGCCTTCTTCACCACACTGTCTGCGTGGGTGGACCATTTCAGTTTGTCAGTGATGTGTACACCAAGGAACTTGAAGCTTTCCACCTTCTCCACTGCGGTCCCGTTGATGTGGATAGGGGGGTGCACCCTCTGCTGTTTCCTGAAGTCCACGATCATCTCCCTTGTTTTGTTGACGTTGAGTGAGAGGTTATTTTCCTTGCACCACACTCCCAGAGCCCTCACCTCCTCACTGTAGGCTGTCTCGTCCTTGTTGGTAATCAAGCCTACTACTGTTGTGTCGTCTGCAAACTTGATGATTGAGTTGGAGGCGTGCTTGGCCACACAGTCATGGGTGAACAGGGAGTACAGGAGGGGGCTGAGCACACATCCTTGTGGGGCCCCTGTGTTGAGGATCAGCGAAGTGGAGATGTTGTTTCCTACCTTCACCACCTGGAAGCGGCCCGTCAGGAAGTCCAGGATCCAGTTGCAAAGGGCGGGGTTCAGACCCAGGGCCTCAAGCTTCATGATGAGCTTGGAGGGTACTATGGTGTTGAATGCTGAGCTATAGTCAGTGAACAGCATTCTTACATAGGTATTCCTCTTGTCCAGATGGGATAGGGCTGTGTGCAGTGTGATGGCTATTTCATCGTCTGTGGATCTATAGGGGCGGTAAGCAAATTGAAGTGGGTCTAGGGTGACAGGTAAGGTAGAGGTGATATGATCCTTGACTAGTCTCTCAAAGCACTTCATGATGACAGAGGTGAGTGCTACGGGGCAATAGTCATTTAATAATATAATAATAATAATATGCCATTTAGCAGACGCTTTTATCCAAAGCGACTTACAGTCATGCGTGCATACATTTATTTTGTGTATGGGTGGTCCCAGGGATTGAACCCACTACCTTGGCGTTACAAGCGCCGTGCTCTACCAGCTGAGCTACAGAGGACCACATTTAGTTCAGTTACCTTTGCTTTCTTGGGAACAGGAACAATGGTGGCCATCTTGAAGCATGTGGGGACAGCAGACTGGGATAGGGAGAGATTGAATATGTCCATAAACACACCAGCCAGCTGGTCTATCATTTACATGCAGAACGTGTTTTCTATACCACACAAATTGCCAAATTCAGGCTACTGTGCAACTTGCTATTCAGGTAGGATACAATTTTGGAACTTTATTAATTTGTTTATATTTATCATTGTTATTAATGTAGGCCTGTTTATTAATCTAAACCAGTTCTTTAAATATGCAAAAGGTGTTTTGTTTCATTCTGTTGAGACATTTTCGTTGGCTAAGTTAAGTTCGATCAGTCTTTAATTGTGTGCTCCTTATTTAGTTTAAAATAGGTTAGGCCTGTAAGTAGGCCTTATGTAAAATAAATATCATTAGCCTATTGCTGTCATTTGTTGGGTATGGTAGGCACTAGTCTTTCTTGGTAATTGCTGAAACATAGCCTGTTCAAAACTTTTTTGAAGGTTTACACCAGCAAGTGTTTTGCTTAATTATTTTGAGCCATTTTCTTTGGCCAAATTAAGTTCCAACTGTAATGTTGTTTGCCGCGATATAATATCCTGCTTGTATTTTCCCTATAAACAATGGCTTGACTTACTTTTGATATGACCCTAATAAAGTTTAGAAACTTTTGTTAAGGTTTGGTGTGGTGTGGCTATTAGCCTAGTGTACTGCAGGCCTATGATATGAAGGCAGTGCGCACCGGTGCTCCAACTGCCTCCGACAGTTGAACTTGAGGGGAGGAAGAATGTTTTAGGCCTACCAGAGATCCTCCTATAATCTAACAATAAAAAGCTTATCTTTATAAAAAATTATTATATGATCGAAAAATAACGAATTAGCCTCCTTCTGTACGCCTGTGTCTGTATAGCAGACGCAGTATTTTTATTTATTTAACCCTTTTTTTTACCAGGTAAGTTAACTGATTAATGTAAATCTTCCCAGTCACTATATATAGTATAGGCAACAAAATAAACTTTCCCAATGATGAAGATGAAGCATAGGCTACTCACCGGTGATAGCCGATGCGCTTGTGCCAATATCTCAAGAAAAGTTACTTTGAAAAACAGTGCTTTTCACTCAGAATCTCTCAAAAGTTGTAGACATTTGCTTTCCAAACGGTAGGCCTACGTTTTTCTCGCTATTGTATTTTGAAATTAGTGAAAGGCAAACTGACAGCCGCAACCAACCATAGAAATATAATCCATATATGGAAGTTCCCATTCAAATCAGGACTGGCAGCCATTGCTAGTGTACCCATGAGTTTAACAGTCAAAGTGCCAGGGTTAGAGGTTCCAAATTCCTTCTATGGATTATATATCTATGGCCACAACACAACAAGCTGTTCTATATTTGCCACGCATACTGCCCAAATTGCGGCCTTCCCGACTAACTGCTTATGATAAAACTTAATCCACAGCTAGTTTTTAGGATTTATTGATCTCTGTAGCTAAATTATGCTCTCTAGTGTAGTAGCCTATTTTGAATTATTTTATTTATGTCTGTTCAGACAGGAGTAATATAATTTTTGGATAAAGTATTTTTTATAAATTTCAATTTATGTGATATGAAAGTAAAGGCTTATGTTTCTAGAATCATATCGCAATTGAGAATCGATTCACGTTTAGATGGAGTATTTGGCTGTTTTGGCTGCCAGAGCCAGTCTATCTCTGAAAATAACGTAAGGTCCTTGGACCTTAAGGAGTAACGGTAGGCTCCTTAAGAGTACATCCTGGGCTAAAAGCTAGCTAGATAACTAGTTACCTCTATACATTATTGTATTGTAATGTAGTGTTCCTCAGAATGCTGATGATAATGATTGACTTAATGGATGCAGCATATCAACATCACAACACAAGCACAACTTGTTTGATATTATGTTGTATTATTTTATATGCTGTGAGTGATCATTCATTTTTGGTCATTTCCTTAATGCTGTTCAAGTATCTTTGCAAAGAACCAAGGATAGATGATGCCACTCAAGAACCTGCGAACTGCAAGGACATGATAGCTTGGGGTGAGTAGTTATGCATTTCAATGTACAGTTGAAGTCGGAAGTTTACATACACATTAGCCAAATACATTTAAACTCAGTTTTTCACATTTCCTGACATTTAATCCTAGTAACAATTCCCTGTCTTAGGTCAGTTAGGATCACCACTTTATTTTAAGAATGTGAAATGTCAGAATAATAGTAGAGAGAATGATTTATTTCAGCTTTATTTATTTTAGCACATTCCCAGTGGGTCAGAAGTTTACATACACTCAATTAGTATTTGGTAGCATTGCCTTTAAATTGTTTAACTTGGGTCAAACATTTCGGGTAGCCGTCCACAAGCTTCCCACAATAAGTTGGGTGAATTTTGGCCCATTCCTCCTGACAGAGCTGGTGTAACTGAGTCAGGTTTGTAGGCCTCCTTGCTCGCACACGCTTTTTCAGTTCTGCCCACACATTTTCTATAGGATTGAGGTCAGGGCTTTAAAAGCCAATACCTTGACTTTGTTGTCCTTAAGCCATTTTGCCATAACTTTGGAAGTATGCTTGGGGTCATTGTCCATTTGGAAGACTCATTTGTGACCAAGCTTTAACTTCCTGACTGATGTCTTGAGATGTTGCTTCAATATATCCACATAATTTTCCTTCCTCATGATGCCATTTATTTTGTGAAGTGCACCAGTCCCTCCTGCAGCATAGCACCCCCACAGCATGATGCTGCCACCCCCGTGCTTCACGGTTGGGATGGTGTTCTTCGGCTTGCAAGCGTCCCCCTTTTTCCTCCAAACATAACGATGGTCATTATGGCCAAACAGTTCTATTTTTGTTTCATCTGACCAGAGGACATTTCTCCAAAAAGTACGATCTTTGTCCCCATGTGCAGTTGCAAACCGTAGTCTGGCTTTTTTATGGCGATTTTGGAGCAGTGGCTTCTTCCTTGCTGAGCGGCCTTTCAGGTTATGTCGATATAGGACTCGTTTTACTGTGGATATAGATACTTTTGTACCTGTTTCCTCCAGCATCTTCACAAGGTCCTTTGCTGTTGTTCTGGGATTGATTTGCACTTTTCGCACCAAAGTACGTTCATCTCTAGGAGACAGAACGCGTCTCCTTCCTGAGCGGTATGACGGCTGCTTGGTCCCATGGTGTTTATACTTGCGTATTATTGTTTGTACAGATGAACGTGGTACCTTCAGGCGTTTGGAAATTGCTTGTGGAGGTCTACCATTTTTTTCTGAGGTCTTGGCTGATTTCTTTAGATTTTCCCATGATGTCGAGCAAAGAAGCACTGAGTTTGAAGGTAGGCCTTGAAATACATCCACAGGTACACCTCCAATTGACTCAAATGATGTCAATTAGCCTATCAGAAGCTTCTAAAGCCATGACATCATTTTCTGGAATTTTCCAAGCTGTTTAGAGGCACAGTCAACTTAGTGTATGTAAACTTCTGACCCACTGGAATTGTGATACAGTGAATTATAAGTGAAATAATCTGTCTGTAAATAATTGTTGGAAAAATTATTTGTGTCATGCACAAAGTAGATGTCCTAACCAACTTGCCAAAACTATAGTTTGTTAACAAGAAATTTGTGGAGTGGTTGAAAAACAAGTTTTAATGACTCCAACCCAAGTGTATGTAAACTTCCGACTTCAACTGTATGTGGTATTTTGTGGGTAACATGAATTGCTTAGGGCTACCCAAGGTCCTACCTATAAAATCAGAGATTAAATATTGTTTTTAAAACTAAATAGTTATGGTTGCCGATTAGGACACATAATTTGTAATATGTCCTTCATTTTCAAAATGCATACTGAAATACATAGGCTATATTTTTCAAATATATACAAAATATATATATATAATGTATGACGGCTATGAATCTGTGTCTGTATGTAAGTACTCAAACTCACAATCAATCTACACAAGTTTTTCCTGTGTGCATATGTGTTTTGTGTTGATTAAGCCTAGCCTAAAGCATCTAGGACTATCTGTTGTGTTTTTTTAGTGGAATGCCTACCTGCTCCGAATGTCAGCTGCCGCTTGTCAAATGGGACAGAGTTTCGATTCAGCGGAGAGGAAGTGGGCTTCAACCAAAGCATCCCCTGCAGGAATGTGTATGTATCTATAGTACCAGACATTCAGCACTGTGGAAATGTTGCATATTCATAAGGGCACAACGTAGCAAAACGTTTTGCAACGGAAAACTGAAACAAACGTTTCTTATTGGACATGGTCGGGTTTATTCATTAGTGCACACCATAGCAAAAAGTTTCTATTGGGCAAAGTCAGGTAGGTCCCTCCCCGTTTTGTTTGCTTCCATTTGGTTCCTAGTGAATAAACCCCAGATAGTACCTTCCCGTTTCATGCCTAGTGAATATGACCCTGAATGTTTTTTTATTGATATTGACAAGCCTGAATAATACCCCATCATATGTGATGTCTACACATGTAAAGCATTAGTGAACTGCTTCAAACTAAAATGGGATTTCTTTGCAGGAGCGGTTACTCCTACAAAATAGCAGTGGCCCTGTCCCTCTTCCTGGGGTGGTTAGGAGCTGATCGCTTCTACCTGGGATACCCAGCTTTAGGTAGGCCTACAGTCCTAAAACTCAACTCTGTACCTCGAAGACAGTTCCACTGCGTTTTTTCATTGTTCCTCTCTAATCAGGGACTGATTTAGACCTGGGACATCAGGTGGGTGCTATTAATTATCAGGTAGAACAGAAAACAGCAGGCTCCGGACCTCGTAGGGTAAGAGTTGAATACCCCTGATTACATTATGACCTTTGACTCTTATCATTGCTGTAGAGTTCTCCAAAAGCAGAGTTCTCCAAACCTGTTCCTGGAGAGCTACCCTCCTGTAGGTTTTCATTCCAACCCCAGTTATAACTAACCTGATTCAGCTTATCAACCAGGTAATGACTAGAATCAGGTGTGCTAGATTAGGGTTGAAGTGAAAACCTACAGGACGGTAGCTCTCCAGGAACAGGGTTGGAGAGCCCTGCTGTAAAGTTCAGGACTAGTATTAGTGTGCTATGTATATATTATATTTTCTATTTAAGTATTTGCAAGGCTTTTTTGCTGTAAAAATAAAATATAAGAATCTCCAGAGTTAAACATTTTAGGTTTTTATTGTTTTTTTCATACTAGCATGGGGTACGTAGGCATCGCAGAGCCACACTGCGGGCGGGCATGAGGCTGCTCTGAGCAGCGCCTGGGTTGGCACAGTTGGCGTGGGCATCGCCATGGAACAGTGGCGTATTAAGCTGGCAAGACAGTTGTGGCTTTGTAGAGCAGACACCTGATGGCCATCGTTTAAAAAATCAACAAAGCTACCTACATAACCCCCCAATAGAGCAATTTACAATGTTGTTAATTATGATTTGGAGTAATTATGTTTTAATCACAAGAGTTGGCGTTTCCATAATTTGCCTGCAATTTAAGATTCTCATCGTTTAGCTGTGTTCGTGTGGAAGATGTGGGGCTAGTGAGCACCAGTAGCCTTTGCCCAGTGATGTCACCCGCCCTAAGATATGGATAGTGTAGTGATTTTACTATGTTGTAGGCTGGTGACATTTGAATGTTGAAAGGATAATGTGTCTAGTTGAATAACTGCCTTGCTCTGTGTTTTCATACATCCAATTCATACTCTCACTGCACAGTTGAAGCACAACCTGCAGCTGCACACATTCATACTCCACTTCACTGCCCCTCTCAACGATAAACACCTGTTGTTCCCAATCCTCAGTTGTTTTGGAAACAAAGTTGACTTGGCACCATTTCTCTCTGAAAGCAAAGCAGGCAGCACAGAAACATACACGCGTGCACACACACAAACCAACACCCTCTCCCCTCAGACACCTATTCGCCCAGCACTGAAAGCGTTCGGAATCGTTCACCTTCGCCTCGCAAGTTAATTTCCCATTCAGCAACACATGGGCAAAGTTGGAACGGAACACGGGGATAAACTGAAACCTTGCCCAGTCGCCTGGATGGGAGAGTTTTCATGTAAACAATGAAGCGTTGCTCACACAATAGGTAGCAAATTATGATTAGGGGCCAGGCAGGATTTTATTTATGCCTACTTTAAAGAGACATGGTGCCCCTTTAAGCTTCATCCCCCATTGACTCTGTCTCTCTTTCGTTCTCTCTCTCTCTCTCGTTCTCTCTTTCTCTAGGGCTGCTCAAGTTCTGCACTGTGGGCTTCTGTGGGATCGGGAGCTTGGTGGATTTCATGTTGATCTCAATGCAGGTGATTGGCATTCAGGAAACAGCTGTGGAACACAGAGCTGCTAAGTAATCCCTCCATTATCTGTTGGTTATGTCTGTGAAAATCCATGGTCTTCTCACAGTAACATTGAAAGTAATGGTTTATGCCTCCAATGTGGTGATGACAAGGGTGGGTTAGGTCAGTGATCCCTAATTGCTTTTGTGTCACAGCTGACGACTACATTGGTTGGTCACGAGAAACATTAAAAGGCTAGTTTGGTCACACTGCAAAGATAAGTTAGGAAACTACTGTGATGTTATCAGAATGATAATTGTATGATTTCAAAACAATATGAGCACAACCCCATGAATAAACAGTAGCTCTCTTCATCAGTAAAGGCTTGCGCACGTCGCACCGAATTTGGATCTAGCGTTTGTCTGCCGACCATTCAGCGCGCTGGTGTGTCTGAACCCTAACAGTGATGGTAATCAACAGAGTGGAGCAAAGTTTGTCTTTACAGAACAGCCTGGGCTTTCCTCCAATGGTCACGCACCACACACACTAATCAGAGCAGGCCATGTAACACTGAACAGAAGCATAGCCAAGGGAGTCAGGAAGACGCTGTGTGTGTGTGTGTGTATGTGGGACTCTGTCTGTGTGTGTCTGCCGGTTTGTTTGTGTGTGTTCGCCTGTTTTGTGTGTGTGCCTGTTTGTATTCAGAAGGGCACCTGTGTCTATATGGTCCTCTGCTCAGCCCTAACCTCTCTATGAATGGGGGTTAATGAGACTGTGGTGTGTTTTCGCAGAGGGGCTTCTCTACCCCCATCCCCCCTCCTCCTCGGTCCCCCAGGACCCCCAATTAAGGCCCCCAAGCCTGACAAAGAGAGGCCAGTCCATTTGTCATCCTGTTAGGGCCTCAGCTCACTCCTCTTTACCTTCTCCGTCCCCATTAGGGAACCAGTGTGTGCAGGATGCCACACATGGGGTTGTGTTCACTAGGAACCAAATGGAAGCATGTGGGCCGAAACGGGGAGGGACTACTTAAAGAAAACATTGTTTTCACTTTCTATTGCAAACTGTTTTGCTACGGGATACACTTAGGGTTCTGAAGACCATGTGCCACGTCTACAGAGCAATCCTTTAGCTTTAACTCTTTGTCAACATGGCCAGATGTTGAATGAAAAGTACACTTATTTGTTTGGCTTGTTAATTATAGTTTCCCATGTTGAATGTAAACCTTATCCTTAAAAATATGTTTTTATCGTGTAGAATAGTGGTGGTGTGTAATTCTAGAACTGTGCATCATGTATGCGATTTCCAGAATTTTACCAAAACAGTTCCCTGTATCACATCTGAGACAAAAACACAAACCATGATACACAACCTTTTCTCTCTCTATTTACCTCTTTTCCTCTTCCTCCCCAGTTCTACTCTACATCCTACTGTGGATGCAGGCCTTTATAAAGTCGGTATTTCGTTAGAAAACGGCAGTGGCATGTGTTCGGCCACTTTGATTAAGCAAGGCGACGGGCGCACTGTTTATTGTTCTCCTAATGTCTTATTGAAGGCCCTAAGAGAGCAATGCTTTAAGCGGCTTCGGCTGCTGTGCATGGCGCAACACTTACATTCTCAATTAGCTGTATACGCTGCGTCCGGGTTCTCTCGCTCTCCGCCTTTTTAAAGAGTGACAATTTTGATAAAGAGTTCCGCGTCCCTGGAGAGCCCATTTAGAAGTCACGCTAAAGCCCCATATTTTAAAGGCTAACTATCTCGACTAAAGCAACGTCGGAGCAGGCAAATGCATCTTTGAGAACTAATGAGTAAACACCTGGGACATGTGATTATTTATATTCATTGATTCTGTCTGGGTGGGACTGGGGGAGAGGAGGAGGCTGTACGGTATTGGTTTGGGGCCTCTCTCTCTCTCTCCTGAAAGACAGAGGTCCACGCCAGATGAATTATGTCTGGTAACTTTCCAATTTACTCTCAAACTAGGTAGAGCAGAGATGGACACAGGTGATCGATAGAAGGGACGTGGATGGCGGGAGCAGTGTGTTTTTAAATGGGTAACAGGCTGGGATTCAAGCAATTGAAGATTGTGGATTTCAATATAGAGCCTTCTGAGATGTGTTAGGTTTGTACAGCAGAGCGCCTTGGATTGAGGGAGTTGACACTTGACATGGAAATTGTCAGTCTGGTTGTGGGTGCTGTCTGAACTGAATCGGTCATGCCACTGGCCCTCCTATTTCTAAATCTGGCAGTCTGATTCAACACTTCCGAAAGCCAAAGTTCCTTCAAGGCTGGAATGTCAATGTTGATCCACTTGGATGACAACACACTCTAGTCACAAACTCATTATCAGAGGGTTAACCAGTAGCCCAGCTGTAGCTGGACTCAACTTCTGTGCCCTTTACACACTCAGTTATATATGTGTGTGTGTGTGTACCTGTGTAAGTTCACTGGTCCCACTCAGCTGCGATTGTTGAGTACCAAACCCAGGTTTTCACCGTATGTACCCTGATGTCTTTCCTCTGTTCCTTCCTTTAGATTGTGGGTCCATCGGATAAGTCTGACTACATAGTGGATTACTACGGTGCCAGACTCACACGCCTCTCCATTACCAACGACACCTATAGAAGAACCCAGATCTCACCCTGAGGGTAGGTACACGAGTAGCATCTTAGAGACGCCACACAGGGGTACACTAGTAGCATGCTAGTTAGAGACAACAGTCTTTGGTGCGTCATTCACTGTGTAATGACTCAACACACCTCCAGGCTGTGTAAGGGCTATTTTACCAAGAAGGAGAGTGATGGAGTGCTGCATCAGATGACCTGGCCTCCACAATCCCCCGACCTCAACCCAACTGAGATAGTTTGGGATGAGTCGGACGGCAGAGTGAAGGAAAGGCAGCCAACTAGTGCTCAGCATATGTGGGAACTCCTTCAAGACTGTTGGAAAAGCATTCCAGGTGAAGCTGGTTGAGAGAATGCCAAGAGTGTGCAAAGCTGTCATCAAGGCAAAGGGTGGCTATTTGATGAATCTCAAATATAAAATATATTTAGATTTGTTTAACACTTTTTTGGTTACTACATGATTCCATATATGTTATTTCATAGTTTTGATGTCTTCACTATTATTCTACATTGTCTACAACTTTTGAATGGTAGTGTATAGTGTATGTCATTTTGAATGTCCACTTATTACATCTGTATTACATTCAAAATGATATGGACATGATGAGTCCACACTGTAGAGTCTGTTAGGCATCACATGAGAATTGAACACTGACTCACACAAATATATAAGTTAAACAAATAAAAGTACTGCATACAACCTCTTTTTCTCTCGTTTCAGGACGAAAAGTGGAAAACAACAACAACCTCCATCTTCTGAATGCTGTAATTTAAATTATGCCCCTCTCTTGGCATCCTATTTTTCACTCGACCAGTACACACGGACACAAAGACATACGGACTATCCGAGTCCACTTATCCTGATCCTGTCTGCATGTACCCCAATGTCGGGAGTGGAGCCTGTGAAGCTAGACTGAGTCTTTCCTTGCTTCTTTGTCCTTCATTCCTTGCCTTCTCCTCAAAACGCATTTGAAGATAAAATCTGAGGAGATAAGGAAACAAGGAAAGACTTTTGAGATTCACCCGTGGTCACCAGCTCAGGTCCCGGAAGGTTACAGTACAGGCTTTTGTTCCAACACAACATTAGCCACACTGTGTAGCTCTCCAGGACCAGTGGGTTGATGACCACCCCCATAGAGCTTCAAGTCATCGTTGTTATACTCCTATGAGAATCTAGAATCTGCACTGAGAACGGTGTACTGTAAATATATTGTCATGTCATCTGTGGTTTTTGAGTATGTCTGGCATCAAGGGAACTATTTATGTACTGTATGACTGTCTTTTTGCTTTCATTTGTCATTTGAGATTTTTGTAATTAAAGTGATCATTTAATGAAAATGGCCGCCTTTGTAAATGACGTTATCCCTCCATTAAAATGACTTTTGTAAAGGAACCTTGAAGAGAAACTAAAATGTCACTTAAGTCCCATTGTTGTGCGTGTGTCCGTGCACACACACTCAGCTCCAATGCCCTCAAACAGTCCACACAACGGACCCCCTCCACAGCAAGCAACCTCCCGCTGCAACACAACTCTGGCTATAACAAATCGATTAACCACTGTATTCACCGTAGCGGTGTCGGATATCCATACTGATACAACGTCTAGAATATCCAGCTCGCCCACCTACTGTACAACACATTCTCCCTGTCACTTTCTATTGCACTGTGTTGATTAGGAGTGTCACATCCATATGTTTTAAAGATGGTTTTCAGGCGCATGTATCAGGGCAGTGAGAGTACATCAGGTCCCCCATTGCGCAGACGCACAGCAGGGCAACACACCCAGACCTCAGCAGAAAGCTGAGATGGCTCTGCTTTGTGACTTTTCCCAAGCTCCCCTGCTGCAGCCTTTGTAATAAAGATGACAGTAGGGATACTTCAGGGGGAGAGGGAGAAGATCTGTCTTCATCTGCAGGATGGATGCTGAGAGCTAGCTTGTCATTTCCTTGACCTCTGAAATCCCTGCAGGACGATTGGTCACTGCCTTAGTTCCTCCAATGGGCTCAAAGTTGGCGATTGAACGGCAAGTTTAAACAGAACTGGTTTTCGAGCTAGACAATATATCCCCTTTATGTAAATCATAAAGAAGGCCACATTTCTTTATTTCACTTCTGTGGACAAAAGAGAGAGATCTGGAAACAGTCAGGCCATCCTGCACCCTCAACAGAGTTTGATCTTCGTCGGAACAGCCGGCTTGTACCGCCTTTCAATGAAAAAGAGGTGGATGTATATTTTATACTGAGTGGATTGCCACATCCCTAAAATGGCCGCAAGATATTTGGTCACTGCTCCTCCATCTTGTGGGAAAGGCTCAAAGTGTACGCTGCTTTCTCTCTTGACCAGAGTTCAGATTATGACACTGTTAAAGCTGCTATCCTTCGTGCTTACGAGTTAGTCCCAGAAGCATACCAACAACATTTCTGTAAATTACAAAAGACAGAATCACAAAGCCACTTTGAGTTCGCAAGGGAACAAGCATGTCTTTTTGATCGGGGTGTGGTTCTCAAGAGGTCAGGGACCTTGAGGATTTAAAGACTCTCATACTTCTCGAGCCGAATTGCGACCTACATTTATGAGCACAAGGATCTCACTCTTGAGAAAGCTGCAGTTCTTGCAGATGAGTTTGTGTTGACACATAAAACTACCTTCACAAACAAAGCACCCAGTAGTTATCCCTACGCAAAAAGCAATCCAGAGAAGTCATCTCCTACTGTGAGGTTTCAGTCTATTTCTACAGTGCCCAAAGATAAAAATCAGCAGAAAACTGGTTTTTCGTATCCGCCAGTTTCTCATTACTGCCGTGAGAAAGGACACATTGTCTCTCAGTGTCCTAAGTTGAAACAGAAAAATTAGAGCAAGAAAAAGCTGTTTCTTGTTCTGGGAGCACTCCAGCCCATTAAGTCTCTGGTTGGGACTGGTGTATCTCCTAAACATTTTGGAGGGTATTTTGCCTTTTTCGGACACTTTTGCAATGGTTTCAGTGTGTTAGTATAAGGCGTGGAGATGGGTTGCATGGAAGTTCCTTTGTATAATGTGGAACTCGAGTCAGATCTTATTTCAGGTTCCATTGTCATTGGAGTGTGGCCTAGCCTACTTGTGAAGGGGGTCTCATTCATTTTGGTAAACGATTTGGCTGGAGGGAAGTTCGTGCCAAATCCTGTCGTTTGTAAGGAACCCAAAGTAGAGGAACCTGATGGGTTATCAGAAAAGTACCCTAGCGTGTTCCCATATTGTGCTACACGTGCTATGTCTAAGACAGCCTCCGGGAGAAAGTGTTAAGGATGTCAGAGATCCCACCATGGTCGATCTGTCGGAGACATTTATGGGTGATCCTGATTTCGCTAAACCTCCTGAGTTGACCTCTCGTTTGAAAGCCGCAAAGGTGAGCGAGTTTGTAGGACCGCTGAAGGAAGAGAGGGTCTGTACAGTTGACACTTCAATGTCTAGGAAACAGCTGATTACTGATCAGAGTAATGATGTTTCCCCCTCCCCTCTTTTTGCTGAGATACGTCCAGAGGTGGAGTTTGATTAAGTTTGTGTGGGTTACTTTGACAGAGATGGTGTTTTAATAAGGAAATGGTGTTCTTGCGCCACTTCCAGGCAAGACGAGAGGAAAGTTACTACGGATATTGCAGGAGTTTGCCCTTGAAATCAGACATGTCGGTGTTAAGGACAACTTTGTTGCTGTTTCTCTCTCAAGGGTGGCCAGTCAATACGTTTTGTGTTTAGCCAGTGGCCCTGGCTCACAATTTACTTTGACTGCACGTTTTGGAGATTAGTTTTGTTTGGTCTCGTTCCAAGGGGATGAAAGTTATAGAAACATACTTTATTTTACCCGTTTCTCAAACTTCAGTTTTAGGTAATAATACAAAATAAAAAAAGGTACAGTGGGGGAAAAAAGTATTTAGTCAGCCACCAATTGCGCAAGTTCTCCCACTTAAAAAGATGAGAGAGGCCTGTAATTTTCATCATAGGTACATGTCAACTATGACAGACAAATTGAGAAATTTTTTCTCCAGAAAATCACATTGTAGGATTTTTAATGAATTTATTTGCAAATTATGGTGGAAAATAAGTATTTGGTCACCTACAAACAAGCAATATTTCTGGCTCTCACAGACCTGTAACTTCTTCTTTAAGAGGCTCCTCTGTCCTCCACTCGTTACCTGTATTAATGGCACCTGTTTGAACTTGTTATCAGTATAAAAGACCTGTCCACAACCTCAAACAGTCACACTCCAAACTCCACTATGGCCAAGACCAAAGAGCTGTCAAAGGACACCAGAAACAAAATTGTAGACCTGCACCAGGCTGGGAAGACTGAATCTGCAATAGGTAAGCAGCTTGGTTTGAAGAAATCAACTGTGGGAGCAATTATTAGGAAATGGAAGATATGCAAGACCACTGATAATCTCCCTCGATCTGGGGCTCCACGCAAGATCTCACCCCGTGGGGTAAAAATGATCACAGGAACGGTGAGCAGAAATCCCAGAACCACACGGGGGGACCTAGTGAATGACCTGCAGAGAGCTGGGACCAAAGTAACAAAGCCTACCATCAGTAACACACTACGCTGCCAGGGACTCAAATCCTGCAGTGCCAGACGTGTCCCCCTGCTTAAGCCAGTACATGTCCAGGCCTGTCTGAAGTTTGCTAGAGTGCATTTGGATGATCCAGAAGAGGATTGGGAGAATGTCATATGGTCAGATGAAACCAAAATAGAACTTTTTGGTAAAAACTCAACTCGTCGTGTTTGGAGGACAAAGAATGCTGAGTTGCATCCAAAGAACACCATACCTACTGTGAAGCATGGGGGTGGAAACATCATGCTTTGGGGCTGTTTTTCTGCAAAGGGACCAGGACGACTGATCCGTGTAAAGGAAAGAATGAACGGGGCCATGTATCGTGAGATTTTGAGTGAAAACCTCCTTCCATCAGCAAGGGCATTGAAGATGAAACGTGGCTGGGTCTTTCAGCATGACAATAATCCCAAACACACCGCAAGGTACACGTCAACTATGA